AATGTGAATGACTAACTTATTTATAACCACGTTACATTTTTGTTCAAATAAATATTCCTTTTTCTGCTTTATTGACCACGTATAGTGATTGAAGAGTACAACTGTGTTATAAGGCCATCCTACTCTACGTGCAACTGTTGGTCTGTATTATTTTACAGTGACAATATTAGATTTGTATTTCTATTCACACCGTCGATCCAAAATGTCTCAAAGGAATAATTGGGGTAGCTACTCCAGAAGGGATTTTTAGCATAATGTATTAAATATATGTTTGTAACGATAAATAAATCCCCAAAATAAATAGCTCTGTAAGTTTTCGACAGTGAATGCTGATCACGTGTTTTAATGGACTCACCTAGCTGAAGGCGCTCGGCCATGCATTCGCCCCAGATCACGAGTGGGAACGCCGTGCACAACAACCCCTGCAATCGCTAGCCAGATTAGATCAGTCGATTCACGATATATTGATAGCCTATCAAATATATCTTCGAACCTCCTCGCTTCTGTCTTTTGATTTCACTTGGTGGGTACGCTTCATAATAGGTGTTACTGGTTAAAGCGTTGTTAAACTTCGAATACCTGTGGCATCTTCACGTTGTTACCGTTTTGTCATTCAATACTCAACTTCGCTTTGCATTTCATTTTTCTACCTAGGATTATTGGCATACATGTGATATTTCTACGAACTAATGATCCCTTTGTACATGATCGCCCGCTGATTTCCAATTCCGGATGTTATACGTTCATTCACGTTCAACTAAATCTACCTACCTTAAGTTTCATTATTTCGGGAATGCTTAGTTAGTACGATATTTTGAATACTTTTAATCATCGTATTGGTGTCACGGTGGAGTCGAATATTGGACAGGTGGATATACATACAAAATCTGAAGCTTTCAAAGATTACATGGATAGGTTTGAAATCTTGAATATGACCAGAAAAGACGTCAAGGATGATAAAACTGGTTCATTTCCTAACATTCATTGGAAAGGATACTTACAGCCCACTAAAAACTTTAACATTTCCAAATAAGCATATTTCACCACCCTATGCAACTCTCAAAGAACTGTTAATAAATAACGTAAAATGTACTGATTTCGAATGCTGTAGCGGAGCAAAGTTTCATAAAACGATCCGTCGAAATAACCGAAATCTTAGAGAAGTTTCCTTGAATTGCAGAAATAAGCTGCAAAATTCATTTTAGTAATCAGCATCATGTGCAGCCACGAGATTGATTGAGTGCAGTTATCAACATACCTAATCTGTTGTATTGACCTACTTTTATCGAAAGAACGTGACTGGTATAATGGAAACAATTATTATTATGCCAATTGTACCAGGGATTGTTTTACTGGACTTGTTTGTTTAACTGTACTAAAGACACATTTTTCCGTTGCTTGTCCTCCTGCCCGAACTAACATTTGCCCAGTGGTTCCACTTGTACTCCTTTGGCACGGCCTCTGTATTATTTTGATACCACGAGATTGTCAACAAATATATCTTACTACAACCTTCGATCGCCTTCTGATTTCTGGTTTACTCGGAAGTGTGGCCTGTTGCGGTACGCAATCTTCCTGTAGTGGTGATCATAGACAACCGTGACTCGATGCCACACAACACTGTAAAGACAGGTCATGCGAATGTTTAAGTGTTCTTTCCCAGATATTAGAACTACATGTAATAATCGTAAGATAGTACATGAAACTGACTTCCAGGGTGTCAATAGTTTCACTACATTGCTTAGTTTCCCAATCCAGTGAGCACTCAAGGTCATGTGGATAACAATTTATTAAGGAACTTCAAAGCAGGTCACAGAGGTGAGCACATGTTTGGTAAATGTTTGTCCTGTGGTGAATCCCAATCATTTGATTCATGTGTACTTCTTAATGCTTTGCATGTGGTAAAATTGGGGACATCCAATCAGTTTGTCAAACGACTGGGCATTTCGCCTCAAATAATACAAAACCTTACAGATCGGATCCTATCAATTTAGCAATTCTAGTAATCATATGCTATCCTTATATACTACTTCGAGTATTTCACTTTACACGCAAAAATGATCATATCTGTTCAGTGGTGCACCTTGAGATTTTATTGTTGAAATTTTCAATTAGAACTCTTAAAATCCTCGTCGCTGACTGTGGACAATCTGTACACGGTCCAGAAAAGTTAATAGTGCTTCGGATACGGTTTTTATTATTGGTTACCAAAGACGGTTCTAATGAAGTGCTTGATGATGGAATAGAAATGCGAAAAGTTTTGCTACTGCTGCGAAGTTTAAAGACCCAGAAAGGAGAGCAAAAAAACTCCATCAGTGCAAAACCACTATACCAAACTCAATAAAACAATGATGAAATTGCCGGAATAAAAAAATCTTTGTAAAATAACTCCTTTTCCACAATCTATAGAAAGACTGCTAAAACGACTCAGTAAATCAATGGTTCATATGTTAGGCAATCGTAACAACCGGATAAGTTCCAAAGACTCAGGTGAGCGCGTTCCGACTTTCGATGTTAAATTTAATGCATATGAGTACATTCTAGATCATATAGAGTCTACATCCAATACACAGTCGGAGAGATAGATAATAAACCTAAGGAGAAGAATGACTGATTACAGACATTTGGATTCTTATTTAATTTGTGGCGGATGTGGTATTTGTATAAATTAACGATTTTTTGTACTTGATTACCCGCCGACTTCGAACACATTATGTTCATTTGTGCTCATCTAGTTCCACTCACAAACTCAGCCTGTAGATCTTCTAGATTTACTGCCGGTCCCAAGCACGGGTGAAGGAGAAGGGTTGGGCATGAGGTTAGCGGCCGCATCCCGTAGAAAACTAATTCGCTAAAAAAACGCTAATCAGGAGTTCCACTAACACTAAGTTGTACTATTTTGGGACTTACTATATGGTATAATTGTCGGAATACTTCTAATCACCATAAAACAGCATTCAGTTTATAGTTTCGATATTTGCATCAGACTACTCTTATCTGTTATACACATCCTTGCACTTTGAATAGACTCCATCACAAATGCACTAGGCTTTCGACTTTTCCATGTTATTTGTTGCCTCAATACGTGATTGAAGCTCTATCTAACAATGCGTCCAAAATAATGCTGGATTAACTGGAAGACCACTGTCTCTAGAAAATAACACAGGGCGCCTTAAGTTATGTTCTTTACAAACTGAAATCGAGAACAAGGGACTATAAAGCAATTTGCTGAATACTCCCACTGAAGGGCATCTTGGTCTGAGTCTAAGAATGGCAACACTTCTGTGTCAACCTTTCTTAAAACATTGCGAAATTGAATCAGGTGATCTGATCCTGAGAAAATTAGATTTTATGCAAACTAAGGACCATATCAAGACAAACTCAATGGATTAAATTAAAAGAGAGATAAGCACTGTGCTAGGTAATCTGATAGTTACTTATCAATAGTAATTTGACATGGCGTCAACACTTGATTCAATGTACATTCGGACAGAGATCCTCTTGAGCTGAAAGGAGTGATTCCTGAATGTAAACAAATCCCTAAAAATGAATATTTCTGCAAGTCTTGGACATTGATGCTGACCTCATAATTTCTACTAGACACGCTCTGACTGATAGTGCTGCGTCAAGCATCTTTACTAGATCACGAGTAGGTACTCCGTGCTACGTATTCCTTGCAACTGCTAGTCAGCTTAGATCAAACGCTTCTCGACATATCGGTAGCATTCCAAATATATCTTTGAAACTCTTTGTTTCTGACCTCTGATTTAACTGCGTTTGTTCTTCGATCACAAATAGATTACGCGTATAAGTGTTCTAAAACTCCGGAGACGTGTGTGATCTTTAGATTTGACAACTTCGGTTAATTTAAATCATACTGAGTGATCAATATCTGGCCAGGATAACCCTACTGTGGTAATAGGCTCTACTACTATGGCACTGTATCAATCAAGTGTTTTAATTTGGTGAAAAGTGAATCGAGAAAGAAATTTCACGGAAAACTCTTCCGCCGAATACAGTAGTTCCGTCAGTCATTAATAATGTCTACGATGTTTGGCAAATTTTTAATATCGTATAGTCTCTTCTAATATGCAGAAGGCTCAACTTCTTGGTCAAACATCAAATATGGTTCATTGCCGCTAAAAATCAACCCCCATCATCTGTCTAATCAAATTCATTTACGTATTCGCAAATGTCTCTAAAATCGCGCTTTCAACAAGCATCTGGTAAACAAGCCGTTAAATGTGCATGAATGAAGATTCTGTGTAAAGATTTGTGAAAGTTTTATCTATCAATGAGTGTGAAGTAACCAACATTCTCTCCCCCGTACATTCATTAGGTCATCGTTGTAGATGAGGTTAAAATTGATACTAGAGTTATCATTTTCAACTCTAACTTTCATTATGTATTTGCTCCGACCTAATGTGTGTGGTTGTGTTACAGTGACGTATTCATATCAGTCAGTTAATGCAAGTCGTCAACATACATTAATACTATTGAAAATCTTGGATGTTTGGTTGTCGTGATACGTTTTTGCACTAAATTAGAATATCCGCAACTCTGACGTCAACATATTGAATAATACTCCTATTTTTCTCTCAGTGCCGTGAAAACATAAGAGAAATGTTCCTTTTCTTGATAAAAACTTTGTGACATCCTTAGCAGAACTATAAAGACACTCAAATGATTCATTTATATATCAGTTACAAAGATAATGATATGTAAAGTGTGTGCTCATAGAGTAATGAAACGGAAATCTATTAAAAACCAAAGGCATATTCACCTTAGATTGATGTCCATTATCTTCCATGTAAGTCGTATTTGGGGACTCCACATTTACAGCACAAAAATATAAGCACTAAATGAATGGCATTCCCATGAAATCATTACTTTAAAAGCATAACATTTGTAACGTTCAGTCCGTTGTTTTAGAGTCTTTATTTCAAAAACTGTCAATCATCATGTGTTTTAATCACTCGAATTAAAGTTGTGTAGGTGAATTTTGCGTCCTTCCGCGCATGTCAATTCTCCTCATTATATATTTGGTTCTGCTTGTTTGTGGGTCTTCTGCGAGGTCGCTCTTCAAATTTCCTGTGTATCAATATAAACGCAAAGCCACAAACGAACAGTTGTTTCAGAAAGTTGCATCAAACTGTAGTGATACTTGCCCACTAGAACACAATAGCTCTTCACTCGAACATACTAAATGTGTTCGTCTTTGTATGAGCAGAAGCTGCTACAACTCACTTTATGGCTTTGATGAGCTAGAAGAAGGTGAAATTGACGTCAGATCTTCTTCGTTTAAAGGTTGTGTTCTGCAAAAACTGAAAGAGAAGGGTTTTCGTGTAATATAAGTAAGTGTTATTGGTACCGAACATCATTCTTAACTTATTTATCTTCTCGTTCCATGCTAAACACGCATTCGACGTCTATTGTGGTAGGTTAAACGAACAAATCTTTCGTTACTAGCCGATGAATCTTCATGTGAGCTCATCGCCAAAAATAGCAAACATATGAACCCATTTTATATAACATGTTAGTGATGTTGAGTGCCGGTATACCGGTATAAAGTCTATAGATTTCATAGATACCTAATAATATCAATTAGTAGGGTTTGTCAAAATTATTTGACGTTTCTAAGGGAGACTATAATTTATGGACAACCTTTGGTTGACACCAAAGTGACCGTAAGAATGATTACCTACTTATTATCGATAAAAGATAGTTGTAGATTAGTGTTATGCATTTAGGTTAAGACTTACAGTCGAACTTCAGGGTTAGGAATTAGATCCGGAGTTTTCGTCACCAATTGACATCACCTATAATGCCGAAATGCTATTCAGCCAATATTAATAAATAGATTTCTCGCCGACGTCCACAACCTGTTGTCTTAAATCTGATTGGTTCTACCATAAATCATATTCTCGCTTAGTTCTAAAATGACATTTAAATAAGGATAGCCGGCAAGCAGACCACTTATTTTTTAAATTTTTTTTATTTCGGTTCACTTTCCAGAGACATGGACAACAAACCTACGCTGATAAGATCATCTTTGCCTACTGCTACTAATTCGACAGTTAACTATCACGAAGTATTCAGTGAGTTGGTTCCAGTGCTGACTCAGTGTTTTGGTGTAATTCTCTTGGGTTATATCGCCGGCCTTCTAAAAATTTTTTCGGAATCCCAAGCTAAGGGACTTAACCTCTATGTCACTAGATTCGCTTTGCCTACTGTATTTTTTCGCGTAAGTCTTTTCATGATTTACCAGTTATTATTTTTTAGTACCACTAGGGCTTTTCTGTTAGTTGAATCATTGCTGATTGATTGGTGCATCCCAATGCTCATCTGGTTGAGTATTTGAAAATTAAATATTTGTGCATTCACTTCCTCATATTTCATAAAATACCTCAATTTCTAAATGTATACTTTATTACGCTACACAACTGTCACGACTCAGTTCTTATTTATAAAATTAGTCTCACAAGAAGTAAAATATTTATTCTTGTCCTAATTACATTGGTAAATTGAAATAATTGAAAGTGAGAATATAGTATGACCAACAGAAAATTTTTAGATTAGAGGTATTACTTCGCACATTTTTCCATATTGGTACATACCTCTCAGAAAAGGCTAGTCAACTTAGAAATTCAATGGGGTGTGTTCCTTTTTTGTCGCTGTAACACTCCCATATATTGTAGTCATTTCATCCGACCACAATATTTGTCTTACTGGATAGAAATTGTTTGCATCTTTTTATACTCTAGTCCCAGCTAACTTTAATCAGCTGATCAACGTGAGTAATTATAAACTATAAGCTCACAAACTTAAAAACCAGTTCAGTGACGTATTCATTCCCTCAGTGCATACACAAACGTAACTAACATTACAATTAGCACTATACTATGAAGCAAAATATTCAGGGTCACCATTATTCTGATATTTCTAGGTGTAATTTTAATGTTTGGTTTCTATATACAAATGTTTCGTAATAACTTACATAAATTCAACAAAATATGTCAGAACATCATGAAATTATTTCACTGCTAATGAATTTTTGTATTCGCTTAACCGGGACGGATTTCTTCTTTGATCACGAAGGGATAGATTTCTAGTGAAAAATATCTCGTTTTATAAATGTAGTTGTCAAGCCGTACAGTTTTATTTATGCTCTGATGTAGTTTAGTATAATAGAGTTTTATCTAAAATTATTATACGGTTGGAATCTATTTTTAGAAAGGGAAACAATCATAAGTTTTGAAAGATCAGTTGTTGAATGTATATTCAGAAGAGCTGTGAAAGTAACGTAAAAAATACTTGAAGGGAAAGACCGGCAAAGTGAGGAAAACATGATTTGAGATATGTGGCTGCGATTCACCTTCCAGAACACCCTGTCTCTGTCATTTTGTTTTATCCTTTTTAATAATTTTCACTGCTGAAAGATAGGCGCAGGCTCAAAATTTTTGTTAATAGGTGTCTTTGGATCGTTTCTCGTGTTTTGTGATGCCAATTGGTGCGCAATATAGGGGTTAGGCATATAGTACTTAGGAAACGTGATATCGGTCGACAGTTTTTAATCGTCATTGAATGAGGTGGTTGGGACTTATGCTACATTTGCCTAACTGCTGCCTACCTCGACGACTGATGCTTGATAGTGCAGAAGTAGGTTGTAAAAGAGCTAGGAGTTATCAAGTCAAAATGTGGCATCAATCCATGAAGTTGCTGACTGTTTGTCCGAGCCATGTAGATGAATACAAATTACCCGGTTGAGATCCGCGTATTAATTGTCACCGGTGGCTTCAAACCTTGGTCTCAGTAGCTTAAAGTCGTTTGCAATGGCCAAGATGCATTTTGTTTTTATCTCTTTGATCTTGAATTTCAATATCTCCTCGTACTTACGTTACTACTTCGCCTTCTCGTGACAGGGGTGTTGTTTACGGTATTGATAGGACGACAAGCAAACGTCCGGCGCTTTAACCAGGTTGGTGGATGCGGGATTTGGAAAACCCTGATTCCAAACCAATGGTGCACATGGAATCCAGGATCCTAAGGAAACAAATGGCGTATGCACTCATTGTTGATCACCGGTTACCATGGGACTGCATCTCCTTACGATGCTCCATTGCCTTGTAGATTAGACCTTCAGGTTCAAGGCTCTGATTGTGGTTCCCTAAGAAAACCACCTTCTTTGATTCGGACACTCAGGCAGTATCCCATCCCTCATACAAATCTAGTGATTTATGTGGCGCATATCTGTTTGGTGCCTCATTTTACCAATTTTTATGTGTCCGAATAAATACATATGTTTTTTAAAACTTTATTTACGAGTTTTAGTCTTTCTGTCATTGCTACCACATTACTTCGATCCTGTTTTGTATTTTTCTATTATTGCAACTTGGACTTACGCACATCTACTCCAGGCCCCATGTTGATAGTATCTAACTGTTACAGATAAAAAATAGAAAAAAGTTCGTTCTCTGTCTCGATTTGTCTTCATACGACTAAGAATCCATATTTACTTTTGGGACATTTGTGGTCTCTGTCTTCTTAGTAAGAAAGAGCCTATAATTAGCAAAATATCGAAAACAAACGCCTGACAATTAAAATGGGATGGGAAATCACAAGGGTCCTTGTGGTAGGAGTAGCGAACTCTGATTTCTCACCTATGAGTCGTGTTCGTGTAGGCTCTCAAGCACAGAACAAATAGTTTCTAAACCCACTTGAATAACTAACAACCATAGGCATTGATCTTTTGACTTACTCCTTCTACTTTGCGAGTTAGACCCTTGAGTTAAAGACCCAAGGAATTAAGAAAATCATTTACTTCGGCTTGGACATCCAAACAGTTCAAAAGCGCTCATGCAAATCTCACTAAACTAAATCGGGAACATAAATACCTCACTCCTCAAACACTCGATCACACACATTTTGTGATATATACCATAGTGCTCTGCTTTGCTAATCATGTTTTCTCTTATGAACAGCTTAAACAGTAGTTGATCGGTTAATTATCTTGTTTTTCCATTTTTCACTTATAAATCAGCAATTGGTGTACAGTCACTATCATCTTTCCTTTGTTTGACTGATTTATTCTAGGCCATGGTAACAATTAATTTTTCTGGTGTCTGTTGGTCTTTCGTTATGGCTATATCTATAAGTAAATTGATCGGTTTTATAATGGCAATTACGTTCACGTATTTAATTAGTCGACGTTTTCATCTGGGCATAGCTGCTATTGTTGCTATGTTTGTATCTCAGACCAATGATGTAGCATTAGCTTATCCTATACGTGAGTTGTTTATAATATAATCTTTTCCATTAATTAGTAAAATTAACTTGCTTTTGGATATTTGAATGACAATAACTTTCGTTTTTATATACTCGCTTGTTGATTTTAAAATAGACTTCAGGTGTACCTGATAACGAGTGCTTTAAGTTAAAAAAAATTGGTCATTTTAATAAGCAAACGTATTTATATTCGCTTATTAGGTTATAAGCCACACCTATTGTTTAAGTTCTGGTTTGTGTGCACATTTGAACATTTAATATCTTCTGTTTGCTCACACCCTGACAGTACATCTCTTTTTGGAGGATTTGAAAATGTATTTGTATGGTGTCGATGACCTGTAAATGGGAATCCAAACCCAAAATCAACTATTAGAAGTCGTTCACATGTTACCTTTTTTTGTTCTCTATATTAGCTCCCCACTTTCTAAAGATCACCATCAGAACCGGAAACCAATAGCGCAAGAAGGCGAATGTTCTTTTTTTGTTAGTTTGACAATACTTTTTCAACTTATCCTTTCGTATTTAAGCAGGTTGTCTCTGAGGACGCTGGTTATCCGCGGAAAATACCTTATTGCTCTCAAATGAAATTGCAGTCAACTTCATCTTCAGGTTTAATACTTGTTGTTTTTGGTCTTCACTCTTTCCACCCAATCTATGTGGTATGGCTGAGCCTTAATAAACGTGTCCTAACCAACATACCTTTGTTATGCCATCACAATAGGCGAACCGGATTGCTGCGTCAAGGTAGGAACAACGGAGTTCGAATGTGTGAACATTGCGTTCATATCAGTCAGTCAGTCATGTCTCTTCACAAGGTGGACAATAGTCGGACAAAATAAAGATACAACCTCAGTTCACTATGACAGCTACTCGGTTATTTGTTTACTAACTGCATTCAAAGTTCAGTCATTTCTCCATTTTCTGAACTGACCGACTAGATAAATGTAAAGCACGTAATACAGTAGTTAATTACTTCACATAACTTCAGTCCTGAACCGCCTGACGGATAGAAGACCGGTAAAAATAATGAAATTATTGAAAGAGGTTATTAAATTATAAGAAATATGTAGAAAAACAGTAATTAAAATATGTTAATTAAGTTAAGATAATAGGTGAATGTATAAATGACCATGGTTAGTTTTATTCTATGTTATCTAAATCCTTCCAACCTATGAACTCGTTTTAAACATTTAGTGGCAGAAACTTGAACACCATGACCACTGAACACCCGTCATTCATGTGGTGAACCATAGTAAGGAACCTCAGATGTTGCAAAATCTATGGTGTCGAGAAAAACAGTAGTAGCCACTGCTATTGAATAACATCCTTTGAATCATTCTCCGTAAATGAAACTGCAATAACTGTTTTCTTACCCTAGAAATCCTAAGCTTTGTTGGTGATTTTATTTGAAATTTTATTAATTTTCATCCAGAGACTTGACATTTACAATCATTATAGTTTTAGTCACAGATTCCTTGTCTGTAAGATTGCTTCTCTGGATAATTTACTGAAAATTGTTATGTATCATATATGTTAGACAAATCTCTACAGGTAATTGGCTCATCATACAATTTTTTAATAATTGCATCCAATCAGTCTTAACCAACGTACGATCTGGCTCAGATATGTACCATTCTCAGTTGTCACACTACATCAACATAATGAAACGAAATTATCAAGACAAATAGCACAAGACTTAAGACAATAGTATTACCATTAATAGTAATAAAGATCAACTTTAGAGAATATTGTCCGGCCAGAAGGAATAAAATAAGAAATCTGAATTAACAATGAAGCTCAGGACCCATAAAAAAGATGAATAAATACATCTGTATCACTAAGGTTGACCCAGAAGGCCCGATTGGTTTTTACCGACTTGCGTCACTTATGGCGTAGGTGAAATATCTGTCTTCCAACCAATGGGCAAGCTTGCTGCGCAGCAGTTCGCTCTCTTTTACTTTGTGGACGTGAGACGTGGCTATAAAGAGTAAAAGATATTCGTGGCTTACTGGCATTCGACCATAGGTGTCTACGAAACACTACTCGTGTATTTCGGAAACATGGAGTAAGCATTGCCTGGATTAGGAACAAAATACTAGGCGAAGATGGCAAGTCGATTGATGAGGTAGTAAATCTTCATTAACTGAGGTGATTTGGATATCTATTACTTATGCTCAACCAATACCTACCTCGATGGGCGATGTTTTCTGGTGCAGGAGCAGATTGGAAAAAGGCTAGGGGCGGACGAATCAAAACATGACATCAGTCCATAAAGTCACTGGCAATTGAATGTAGCCATGTTATTAGGCACATACCACCTGGTTGGGATCCTCATGAATATCGTAACCAACGGTTAGAGACTTTGAATGAAATGGCTCAAAATCGTTTGCAATAGCACAGGTGTATCCACTCTTCGTCTTCCCCCAAATCCTAAAATTTTAAATTCCTCATAACTTTTTCTTGTTTTTACTTCACTAATTTATATTTTCTTTTCCAGTCGTATCTTCCATACTTAATCTTTCATATTACCTCTGATACTGTTACTACCTCTACTATTCTGAGGTTTGGCCTGACAAATTCATCTCTCTGTGCTAATGGCGTATAAAAACTTGAGCCAATGTACATAAGTACAGGTTCTACGTTGTGACTGACTGACTGAGACCGATTTTGAGATTTACTACTTATAGTCTTCAGCCATCGTTCGTGATTATCATGTAAACATCGACTGGATAATCTGCATCGTCAAACATGGTTCATATCGGCAGTGGGTGACTCAACGGACTGATGCTACGCCTTGGTTTGATGCCCTCTAATTGTATTTCAACTTATTTACGCTCCATCCAACACTGAACATTGTGGTAACTAGTGGTTGGGCACCTGCGACTTATTTCTCGATTACTCGGTCAATGGATAACTTCGTAGCCTCAACATACTTGCAGTATTTACCTATGACCCGGCGTTTAATCTCTGCATTATTACTTACCTAACTGTTCTGCTATATACCATCAATGATTTGAATATTTTTGTGATGAAATAAGAGTAGCTATGGATATCCTCTACTTTAGAAACGTCCTATATCACAGCCCTCAAGTAAGACAGGGGAATGATGTCTAGTATATTCACTGTTTGATAAACAGACAGATGTCTTCCTTACTCAACAGGTGACACGATTTGGTAAAGTCTAAGCATGTGTTATGTGTTGGTGCCAGGATTTTACCAGCCACTAGCTCATTAAGGGTGATGAAACTTCGATAACAAATGAAGTGAAAAATGCACTTAACTAATTTACTAGCACTCTCTTCGGCCTTTCTGGATGTTGATACAAAACTGTTCTGAATCAACAATTCACATTACTGGTCGGTTACATTCTACTGTCATATTTTCATTAAATAACCATCTCTTTGTTTTTCTCTTTTTATTAAATTTTAGTATATGCTCTTTTCCCTGATTTGGCTAGTTATATTTATTTATTTGCACCAATCCAACTGGTTGTTCTCAATCCATTCGCTTATTTTCTATTGGAGCTAGAACGAGTCAGACTAACTAATAGTGAGCTTAAACCGTTAATTCATAGTGAAGATAGTAATATTGATAGAAGACAATTAATTGATGGTAAAAGCTCGAATTTAGTCCCATCATGTGGTCGATGCCAACAATTGACACAGGTAAGGCTTTTCAATAGAACCAACGCTTTTTTGTATTTAACTACATATATCCAATGTTTATTATTGTAATGGAGCTACTTAGAAGTGGTTAAGGAGTTCGGCCTTCTCAACCACTAGTTCACATATTCGAATCCCATTCCACCTACCTTGGTTTTAGTGACCGGGTGTAGTATCACGAACCATCCATGAATATCTAAAGGAAAAATGGTCAAGTGAAGACATATGTAGATTATGTCAATTCATGTGGACTAGCGATCAGGTTACCTACACACCTCCTTGGAGCATAGACCGCCAACTAGGACACTCCAATCAACTATCCCAACCTCCCCTTTCCAGTTGTTTCCAAGCGCTGTTCATCCTTTTCATATCTGACTCGATTCCCCGACTCAGTGTTCTTCGGTCTGCCTCTTTTCCTTTCGCCTTCGAGATTCCATAATAGGGTTTTCCTCGTGATGCAGTTTGGTGATTTCCTGAATGTCCTATCAACTTCCAGCATCTTTTCCTGCATCCAATGGGTTTCAATTATTCCGAGCACCACATTTTTGTGTCTTCTCATTTCTTCAGCTTTCTAACCGATCCTCTCAGTCTCCTACATTGTGCTGACATTCCATGCACCTACATTAATCGTTGCTCTAGTTGTTAGAAAGGGCATCGGCTTCATAACTTCAAACGAATCTCGGTTTTCACCATAAGGCCTCATAATCCTTCTAAATGAAGGCTCTTCAAATCCCAAGATACAGTATGAATGGTTTGAATGATTTTTGACAATATTTTTTCCTACTGGATGGGGTTGTTGACCCGATGCCCAACTCTTCTTTATCCGAACTTGGGACCGACAGTAACCATAGAAGTACTACAGGCATATTTCCATTTGATTAATTTAATCTATATAACACCAAAGACTGCTCAATACAAAATAGTTTTATAGTCTGTGATTAACTAGTTTGTAAACATCTTAGTCTTATTTGAGGTAAGTTGTAGTCCCTAAAGAAACGTTTCTCATTTTAGCACCGAGCGACACGGAGAAAATCATTCCTTTCATGGTTAAAACTACTTGGTGATAAGTATCAACTCGAATAAAACCTAGATTACCCCCAAACTGCCACGGATATTAATAATTTCAAACAATTTGTAGTACTCAATTAAATTCAGATTGATGTGTTACTAAGCTTTGATGCTTAATTTGATTTATTACAGACATAATCCTACTCCAAAAATTGAATTTCATAAAGTAGACAGCTTGAAAACTGAATACCACCGGTTTAAATACTCGAGTTCGGAATTTTTTGTGAATAATCATTAATAGAACTGTATTTGAACATATGTGGATTTAAATTCTTCTATCGTTGAAGATTGAAATGGTACAGTGTCTAATGGTGTTTTGAGTGTGATCTGTTCTAAATAAATAACAACTATCATTATTGGTTGTTAATTACTCTAATTACTCACTAAAATCAGTTGAATATCTTTTAAAATCTTAGCAGTAATGATTTTTTTTAATTAGAGAACGCTGTTTCCATAAATGACTGAGATTTTTTTCAGAACTCAGCAACGACTTTCCGCCTACTTTAAACTATTTTTCTATTGACTTCAAAAACCTTTCTCATTATTAAAAGATTATTTATTCATTTATTTAAACACATAAACATTGGTACAAGGAGGCATTAAACAAATATGCTCCACTTAAATCGTCCGATTTGTCTAAGGGGCTTGAATACTGCGCGTGTGCCCGAACCGAAGAAGGTGGTTTTCTTAGGGGACCACACCCAGAACCTTTGACTTGAAGGTCTGATCCACAAGGCAGTGGTGCAACTCCAGGAGATGGAGTCTCATGGTAGCCGGTGACCAACGATTGGTTCATACACCATTTGTTCCTTCAGGATACCGGAGCCCATGTGCACCATTGGTTTGCAATCAGGGTTTTTCTAATCCCCTAGGTGGATGCTCTTCCTTTATCCGGGCTTGGGACCGGCAGTAGCCCCCCAGACGGAGTTGGGTTGGTCATGGGGTTAGCGCCCCCATCCCGTAGAGACCTACTCGCTAAAAAACGCTAACCAGAAAAAAATTATTCAAACCTTTTAAACTCTGCCCTGGGAGTCAGAAGGTCTTCATTTAGAAGAACTATGACGCCTCAAGATGAAAGCCGAATTCCTTCAGGAGTTACGAGGCCGATGCCCCTTCTGACAACCAGAGCGACCATTTATTTAGGTACATGGAATACTCGTACAATGTGGGAGACCGGGAGAGTCTTCCAAATTGCCGCAGGAATTAGGAGATAAAACCTAGAGGTGCTTGGAATCAGTGAAACACATTGGACGCAAGGTGGACAACAACGACTAACTTCAGGAGAGTTTCTGTTATATTCCGGCCATGAAGAGGAGAATGCCCCACATACACAAGAAGTTGCATTGATGCTATCCAAACAAGCACAAAAGGCACTTATAGGATGGGAATCTCATGGATCAAGGATCATCAAAGCCTCGTTCAAAACAAAGAGAGAGGGCATTGCAATGAACATCATCCAATGCTATGTTCCTACCAACGACTTCAATGATGATGCTAAAGATCATTTCTATGATAGGCTGCAATCAATCATCGCGAAGTGCCCAACAAAGGACCTGACCATTCTGATGGGAGATTTCAATGCCAAGGTTGGAACGGACAACACTGGATATGAAGACATCATGGGACGACACGGACTGGGAGAAAGGAACGAAAATGGTGAGAGGTTTGCAAACCTATGTGACTTCAATAAACTGGTCATAAGCGGCACCATATTCCCACATAAACGCATTCACAAAAGCACATGGACTTCACCGAATCACACTACACCAAACCAAATCGACCATATCTGCATCAACAAAAAGTTCAGAAGGACGATAGAGGACGTGCGAACCATCAGATCATCACTTGCTGATCACCAAGATGAAATTGAAACTCAAGAAGCACTGGACAACATCACAAAAGTTCAACACGGTCTTTCTTCATGATACTAACAAACTCAACAAATTCAAGATAGTCCTCAGCAACAACTTCCAGGCCTTTCATGATCTACTCAATGTAGAAGGAACTGCTGTGGAGAGAAACCGGAAGCGGATCAAAGAGGCAATCACTTCAACATGTCATGAGGTTCTGGGACACAAGAAGCACCATCACAAGGAATGGATCACTGTTGATACACTGGATAAGATTCAAGAAAGAAGGAACAAGAAGGCAGCAATCAATACCAGTCGAACAAGAGCAGAAAAAGCCAAGTCACAAGCTGAATACACAGAAGTAAACAAGCAAGTGAAGAGGAGCATCAGAACCGAAAAACGTAAATATGTGGAGGATCTAGCAATGAGGGCGGAAAAGGCTGCAAGAGAAGGAAACATGAGACAACTGTATGACACGACAAAGAGACTCTCTGAAAATCGCTGCAAACCAGAACGACCAGTGAAAAATAAGGAAGGTGAGGTATTCACCAACATTGAAGAGCAACAAAACAGGTGGGTAGAACACTTCAAAGAACTCTTCAATCGATCAGCTCCACTGAACCCATCCAACATCGAAGCAGCACCCACAGACCTCCCAAACAATGTTGGCCTACCAACAATTGAAGAGGTCATTATGGCCATCAGGCAAATCAAGAGTGGCAAAGCAGCAGGATCAGACAACATTCCAGCAAAGGCACTAAAAGCAGACGTAGCGGTAACTGCAAGGATACTCCACATTCTCTTCCAGAAGATTTGGGATGAGGAACAAGTACCGGAAGACTGGAAAAAAGAACTCCTGATCAAAATACCGAAGAAAGGCGATCTCAGCAGCTGTGATAACTACAGGGGCATCACTCTTCTCTCAATACTAAGAAAAGTTTTCAACAGGGTATTGTTAAACAGGATAAAGGACTGCGTAGACGCCCAACTTCGTGACCAACAGGCGGGATTCCGTAAGGATAGATCGTGTGCAGACCAAATCGCAACTATACGGATCATTGTGGTACAATCGACTGGATAGAATTCATCACTCTACATCAACTTCATTGACTACGAGAAGGCATTTGATAGCATGGATAGAACAACACTATGGAACACTACGGCATGCCTCAGAAGATAGTCAATATCATACAGAATTCCTATTATGGATCAAACTGCAAAGCCATGCATGGAGAGCAGCTCATAGATTCGTTTGAAGTAAAGACCAGTGTCAGGCAAGGTTGCTTACTCTCACCCTTTCTCTTTCTCCTGGTGATTGACTGGATCATGAAAACGTCAACATCTGAAGGGAAACACGGAATACAGTGAACATCTAGGATGCAGTTGAACGATCTAGACTCCGTAGATGATCTTGCTCTTCTATCGCACACGCAACAACAAATGCAGAAGAAGACGACCAGTGTGGCAGCAGCCTCAGCAGCAGTAGGTCTCAATATACACAAAGGGAAGAGCAAGGTTCTCCGATACAACACAGCATGCACCGATCCAATCACAATTGACGGCAAAGGTTTGAAAGATGTAAAAGCCTTTACATATTTGGGCAGCATCATTGATGAACATGGTGGATCTGATGCAGATGTGAAGGCGCGGATCGGCAAAGCAAGAGCAGCATATTTACAACTGAGGAACATCTGGAACTCAAAGCAACTGTCAACCAACGCCAAGGTCAGGATTTTCAATACAAATGTCAAGACAGTCCTACTGTATGGGGCAGAAACCTGGAGAACTACGAAAGCCATCATTCAGAAAATACAGGTGTTTATTAACAGTTGTCTACGAAAAATACTTCAGATCCGTTGGCCGGACATTATTAGCAACAACCAACTGTGGGAGAGAACAAACCAGATCCCTGTGTAGGAAGAAATCAGGAAGACGCGCTGGAAGTGGATTGGACATACATTGAGGAAAGCACCCAACTGTATCACAAGACAAGCCCTCACATGGAATCCTGAGGGCCAAAGGAAAAGAGGAAAACCAAAGAAGACATTACGCCGAGAAATGGAAATAGACGTGAGAAAAATGAACAAGAATTGGATGGAACTAGAAAAAAGGCCCATGACAGAGTGGACTGGAGAATACTGGTCGGCGGCCTATGCTGCATTGGGAGTAACAGGCGTAAGTAAGTAAGGTGGATGCTCTGTATCCACCAACCTGGTTAAGGCACCGGACATTCGCTTTTCGTCCTCTCAATTTCGTAAACAACACTCGTGGTGCGAGAAAGCAGTGAGTAGGACTTCCCTGACAGTGGTTGTACGAATACTCAGAATTATTAAATTTTAGATGGCTTTCTTTTCAGCTACATTGTGATCAGGTTTATTCAACAAGAAATCTGTTATTTACTGACAAATGAAAGATATTTATGCTTCATTTTTGGATCGATGCTAATTCTCTCCATAAGTTTATTAGTTTGTCAATGAACTATTTACAGTGCAATTGTACTAAATACATGTTATCATCATGACTGTTATTATTCACTTGTAATTATTGTCTACATGTATCCACTTATTTCTTTCCATTGCATAGGTTGTGTTCAATGTTCTCAAGAATCCTTTAATTTTCATGACTTTAATTGGTATTATTTTTAATCTTATATTGAAGCACCATTTACCAGTGTATATAGATGGATTGCTCAGTGTTATAGGTGAGTGTTCCTGTTTTTTTCCCTAAATTACTACTATTTCGGACTTTTTATAAGAATAATTTTTGTTAAAGTAAGATAAAAAATAATCAAAATTATAGTATCATTGGAAATCAAATCTAGTGTTGAATGATTGAAAGTCGTACACTTTTAGCTATTGAGTTACAGCTCCACAAACACTAGACTGAATCCAGAAAATTTCAAGCCTTCTTGTCAACTGAAATCCAATAGTCCCTGTTTTTTAAAAATTCAATCAGTTTATCATGTTTGGTCATCAATATGCTGTCTCGTTTCTATGCTGCCGTTAACTGAGATGTAAAGAATCTGATCCAGATCTCTCTGACTTTCAACAACTAATTTAAAATCTCTATAAAAACCACTTCGTTAAATACCAATTTATGGCAATTTCGACAAGTAATGTCCCAAATAGAGTAGAACCAACCTCGAAGCATTTTTTTTTAAATTTTCATGTGACTGTAGAGTTTTACTCAAGTTGATTTGTTTTTTTTTCATGTCTGTCATCCGTTTCGTCACTGATTATCAGGGTTTGCTGTATTTTTAATCTTGCATGCAAGCTTGGCCCATTATAAAATATATTTTGTCTCTTTAATGTTCTTTTGAAAGCTGACTCCTTCGGTGCGACTGCTTTATTTTCACTCGGTTATGGTATGGTTGGCAAAATGTCTACCATCACTCAAAGAGAAGCTTACATTTTGACAACAATCCTATTGACAAAACTGTAAGTTCCCTTTCTTCGATGTGTGTTTACTTCCTACGTACTCTGTATTAATGGTTTCGGAGGTTTGTAGAAACTGTTTAATTTGAAGTTCGCTCACATAACGAACGGGTTTTACCTAGACAATTATTGAAAACAGGGAGTATTGAATGGTTGTTTCGTCCTAGTACCGAACTTCTGATTAACAGTGTGTATCCATACCCTCAGATCTCACGTCGAATGAGTCAATTCTAGATCCCTGAGTCGACAATCAATGTTTCATATTCTCGATTTCAGTTAATTCGTGAGATTTCATAAATATAGTCGGTTGTAGTCAATGATACCTGTCTCACTCTTGAAAAATACCATCAGCCTCTTTTTTCCTCTCCAAAACTACAAGAATTCTCTAGATTGATCACTAGTGAGTAAATGATTAATTAATGCAATTCATTTATCAACTACAGATTAATGCATTTGACATTGAGCCACGCTGTTTATAAGAACTAGTGATACTACCTGAATGCTGAAACTAAAATAAATGAAACATGATTCGGATCTCTAACTTATTTAGTTGAAAGTCGATTACTTTAAATCCACTAAATTATCAACTTTATGTTGGTATTTGGTAAAATATAACGAAATCTCGCTTATTTGTCATTTTCATTACTAATATCACCAACCTTCAATGTTTACACTTAGACTCCAGTCAAATGAAGTTAGATTAAAATCTGTATTAAAGATAGTTATAATGCGAATTAGTGAGTTTTTGCGAATTAGAAACTTTATATCAAGTTATACTCAGGATACTAAGTAAAGATATCAAATCGATCGATGAGATATTGTATATTTATCGGTTGCTATATTTAGGACATGTACTGCTCACCCTGATACTTGGTGATGGCTAGTTGAAAGTAAGCTAGGGACGGTCAAATCAAGACGTAGCACCAGTTCATGAAAACGCTGACTGTTGAACTGAGACATGTAGGTATATACAAACTAACTACCTGGTTCGAGTCCGCGTGATTATAATAACCAACGGTCGGAGGATTTGAATGACAGTGACTCAGAATCGTTCACAATCGCTCAAGTGCATCCACTCTTTTTTCTTTCCTAATTTTCTAAATTACCATTCGACTTTTTTTTGGTTTCAATAATCCATATTTTCTCCTCGAATCTTATCTTCGATACCTAATCTTTTCTACTATCATACATTGTTACTACCTCTAGTACTCTGAAATTCACCTTGACAATTTATCTCATTGTGCTAATGTAATGTGACGACGTGAACCGATGTACACTTGTATGAAGTTCCACGTTGTATATAACTGATTGACTAAAGGATATTTATTAGATTTCTTCTTAGGAAATGAAGTTATTTATACTGATTAGTAAGAAGTTATCATCGTAGAATTCTTCACCAAATTCTAAATTTTAATCATGATAGTTATCTATTTGTCAATTTTATGAATTAAATAATGTCGACACAGCGTGCGTTTCTTTCTAAAACCAGCTTACATATTCACACCCATGACGGGACTCGAACCCGCAATCTTTTACTTAGGAGGCAGACGCCTTATCCATTAAACCACATGGGCAGACGTTAATTCGCTGAGATTTTACAAATACATAATTCTTCTTTAACAGCTTACGTATTGTTACAAACTTTAAAGCAGTTTTTCTAATTTAAAAAAAGGCGATTTACAAAATCACATGTCCAATTTTTTCTCTTTTCTGTTACACTTTAATAGTTTGATTGTTCCTTTTATTACACGTGAACTTGTTGTTCAAATGATGCCTATTGCATTGGTTAATGAAACATTACGTTATTCTACATTTGGTTTCTTGTATGGTACTACACCGACAGCCCCACCTGTATTCTTATTTGCTGCTGAATATCAAGTCATACCTGTGGCCGTAAGTTTATATATTAATAAATGTATACCGTCTAGTTGTATAAAAATTGCTTTCTGTCATTTTATCGATAGAGTGTAGTTGGTTTTTGAACCGTTTCCTCAATGTCTACTTTCCAATTTAGACAGCTAAGTGATGTGACATAGAGACTTGATCAAATTTCCGACCAGTTGTTTTTCCAAACATACATTAATTACTGGCGATTTCTTTGTCTTAAAACTGTCTTCATACACTATATTTACTAATCATATGTACTTACTGGCTTTCATAAAATGTTGAATATCTATCATGAATCTTATTACTGAGAAATTCATAAATATCACCATGGTAGTTCGTATATTTTCCTTCTGCGTCGTTTGAAGTAATTACTATAGAATTCATACATTAAATATATTCCAACGATTGGTTACGATCGTCACGCGGACCCCAACCAAGTAGTCTGCATCTACTAACATGGCACAGACTAGATGTTACTGACTTCAAGCACTGATGCCATGTTTTGGTTTGGCCGCCCCTAACTTTCTTCCAACCATTCCCAACACTAGTCAGCATTGCGCGTCGTGGTAACCGGTGTTGAGGTATACGTAACACGTGGCCCAGCTATCTCAGTCGATGAGGGTCCACAACCTCATCAACTGATTTGCCATCATTCCGCAATACCCTGCGTTTAACCTCACTGTTACTTACACGGTGATCCCAGCAGATGCCAGCAATATTTCTAAGGCATCTATTGTCAAATACTAGTAACTTGCGAGTATCTTCTACTCTTAATGGCCACGTTTCGCAGCCGTGAAGTAGAACAGGACGAACTGCTGCTCAGCGTACTTGTCCCTTAATTGATAGACGGTTATCTCACATTCGCCATAGGTGACGTAAGCTGGCAAAAGCCAAACGAGCTTTTCGAATCCGTGCTGAGATTGCTTCAAACACCAACCCATTAGGACTGATCAGATTTCAAGGATAAGTGAAGTTGTCAACGCGTTCGACTACTTCACTCCCTATCCTTAGACAAGTTGTTGACGCAACAACTTGCATTTAGAGGGAGAGAAACGCATCCCAAACATCCTGGCATTGTTGCTGAGTTCTACCAAAAGACTGCATTTTATCAGCGTCTTCACCAAACAGGACCATGTCATCTGCGTATTCTAAGTCGATAAGTAAACCTCCTTGAAGTGGTTCAGTGCCCGAGAATTCAGTCGACGAGAACGTTATTTCCGGCAGTAGGTCTATGATGAAGTCGAACAAAAATGGAGATAGTAGACAACCACCTTACCGGATACCACTTGAGGTTGAAAAATCAGATGAAAGTTCGCCATAAGCTTTGACTCGACTAATAGTGTTCGAGTAAAGAGCCTAACAGCACTCAAGATCACTATCCCATTAGGAATAATGAAGGAACGAACGAGGAATGAACTACTAACATAAATTAATTGCCCTGTTTGGGGACTTCATCTCGAAGCTACTTACTCGTAGGCACATGAACAGATCATTTTACCAATTATAATGATTGATGCAATTGTCTTATATATTACGAGTTTATAGTCCAATGTCTAAACCAAAACGCCAGAATAGAGAAGTAGACCGATAAATTCGAGCAATCTATGAAGTCAATGAATGTTGAGTTAATCGATGTAAGCTTTATAGTTGTAATGAAAATTAACCATACCTTGGATGGACTTTGTGTTTAACTTCACCAAGCTGCTATAACTTCATGATTAAGTACCAAGTTCATTTCACGTTAAGCCATTATTATTATTATTATTATTATTATTATTATTATTATTATTATTATTATTATTATTACTGTTTTATCCAAGAACGTTATCTAGAAGAGATTAGTGACTCAATTGAATTCCCTCAGTTTACAGCTAATAATCAATCGTAGTAGTGTGGATGCATTAATTATTTTGTCCTATTTACAATTCTTATTTCATAAACTCATTTATCTTTCTCATATAATATTCTCATCGTTAATCTTTTTCGACTACTACTGATACTATTACTACTTCTACAGCTGATATTTGTCTTCATAATTTCATTCCATTTTACTTACACATGCTGTGTAGCAACTTGAACCGATCTACATATTTACCCGATTTCCCATTGCTTAACTCTTCAGTTATTACAAATGAAAAGATGAACACAGTAGGAATTAACCACGAATTGAACAGTGTAAAAGTAACTGTTTAACACACACGCACAGAACAACACATAATGTTTTTGTATAAAAGTGCATCAATTTATAGATGACAAGAAGAAAAGAACAAAACAACAACAGAATTTAAATGAATTGGAGAGATTATTACATTATAAATTGTCGTCGCTTTATTGAATGAAAATGCACTTTTTTGTACTGTATAGAATATTGACACAAATGACAAAATAAGAGGTGAAATGATAGAGGGAGAGTAGAGCAATAGTTTATGCCTTTATCATCATACATAATAAGTATTTTTCTTTTTTTTTAATCTTTGTAATGTCTAGCAGATTTCTGTTATCACATGGCTTCGTGATTTGTTTTAACACTTGAACAAAAGCGTCTCATATTTCCATTTATCCTATTACTCACATGCCTATACACGTATGTATGCTAATACATGTGCGTCTATATGCTTACTGAAATCTCTTTAATGTTTATAAAGACTGAGTCATCCATTATTCATGAAGTTGAGACGTCTGCCCTCTGTAATCCGCTTTTCATCAGTCTTATTGAAATCATGAACCAACCCAAGGTGTGAACCACCACTGAAAACCTGGAAGCACTGAGCGGGCACCTCTTCTTAGTACGTTGCACCTCAGTAGTGTGCATTCACAATCCCGCATTGAGGGACAAAAACTATGACATTCGACCTCGTGTGCGAACTCTAGACTGCTGAGCCAGCATTCAACGATGTTGTTATCTAATCTCAATGTCGTAGATCCGTGTGTAGTGTGAGGTAGTTACCACCAGGGACAATGGAAGATTGTTGTGTAATATCATGGTTTGATTGAAGCCAAACATTAACATCGATGGATGCTAGGACGAGGCGAGCGTTCAATGTTTTCAAGTTTTTGATGGTGATTTAACATTGGTTGGTTCATGATTTTAATAAAAAAAGACCCTTTATCTCTCTATTAAACTCAACTTTGAACCCTGAATTGATTATCTATCTTGCATACCACTGTTATTCTCCTTCAAACTTTCAAGTGATCACATAAATATGATCGTTTTCAGGCAATCTTGACATCTACACCTCATAATCCTAAAAGAGTAGTACAGTACTGATGCCTTAACCTTATATCTGTTTTCTAAATGGTTGTTTGATGTACCCTTAAGGCCAAATGTATGACTATAGCTTGTCAATTTTAAAGACTTGCATTATCCCTGGAAATACAAACTTGCTACTTCCAAGTCATCAAGTCACTGTTACGATGCGGTTGTCCAAAATCACAAAAGTCAATAATACATAGGGTAAAGTAAATTTTCAGCTCATAATCATACAAATTTCCGACTCCATGGTATATTTGTTAACGATTGATACCTAAAATTACATGACTTCCATTGAATGTACACTTTAAAGTTCCTATCTCTTTTTTGTCGTTGGTTAAAATTGATAAACTTTTTTCGTCCATGGTCACTTTAATCATCTGTTATTATTCATTAATTTTTTTTACTTCACACTATCTAATTATGTGCATGGTTGGGATATACACGTACAGATCGGTGTTGGTCTTGTCTTGGGAACATTCCTATGTGTGCCAATTATGTTTATTTTTGCACGTATTATTACATTGTACAACGCAGAACCAAGTGATTATGCAAGTATACTTGGTACAACTGTTGAAGATATTTCTTGGATTAGTATTGTATGCTGTGTAAGTTTACAAATCAGTTTTGTTTGTATGTTTTCAAAATGATATTTTACCCATTTTTTATTTTCAGTATTAAGATATACGCCAACTATTTGCAAAAACCGATCTACTTCACGAAAAAGATCATATGTCATTCACGAAATGCGCAGTGATTTTATTATTACCCATTTCAATAGACATTGAATGATAGTCAATCAGTCATAAACAACCTAAATATTACCAATGAGAAATGCAGAGCCTAGGAAATTGTTTGTTCAGCATATTTTGTAGGTTTAACTGAACTGCTCTCAGCGTTCTTCATGAATCGACTGAAGTTATTCGTTCCATTTTCAGTCTTCAATATACGTGTTGTATCCGGAATCACTTTTACATGGGTGAGTGCCGGATATTAGGGTATAATCATCAGTATAAGCCCTTTTTTATGCCCTAACTTTCACCATACTTATGTTTTCCATCCGGCATGTTTGATTGTGCTACACTGACATTTTTATAGCTGACAGTTAAAAACAACTTCACCCTGTTGAAGTGAACACCTTAAGGTAAATCGCACTTCAATATCCGCCACTAGCCCACTAAATAAACAACAAAATGACTGAAATTGTCAGAAACAACACACACCTTAAGGGTTGAAAACGGTGGGAATAACTTGAGTTTAGACGTTTTCTATGTCTATTTGTATAAACTAAATTATTGTATTTGTTTGTTTTTTAAAGTAAAAACTTCTAACTTGTTTTGATTGTTCATTTTAAAACTAATAGATTTGGACATTGGGTGTACTTTGTGTTAGTCGAAAAGCTATTCGAGTTCCTAATCGATTCACATTATGTCATTTAATTTGTGTGCTATTCACTTGTACTGGATTATTACTTGGTCGTTTCGTAAATTATTATTATTATGGTATTGAAGAAAGTGTAAACGGTTTGTTATACAAATTATTAAATTTTGGAAAATCGTGTTATTGTTTATTGAATATTGACTAGAATATATAACATGTTATACTCATACTTGTAATCGGCTAACTTATAAGCTAGTTGTAGGCATTCGTTGAAATGGAGCTCTGTTTTATCCAGGTGGCACTTGTCATATAGATATACCTGGAATCTTGAAAGATCTTATGCTACCCATAGGAACTGAACTGGCATCACTCAGTATCATATTGAGTGACATGATGTGATCAAGAAGTTATTTATATCTTAACCGACCTATAAGACTGAGATATTTGCAGCACTTAGTTGCGAAGTAGTCTCTTAATCTCATGTTTGTGCAGAATTCAGTCACCTCTATGGATTAGATAGACATGATATGATCAGCTATTGTAAATTGTGTTTTATCAAAAGATATGAGTATATGCTCGTCTCGTTATTGTTGTGAACCTGAATGGACTAAGTTGGTCAAGGTGTATTATGGATATATCGAAAACCATTATATTGTGGTGTGTGCTACTTATATTGACATAAGTAGTATGTGATGTTAGTCGTGAACAGGTCTGGCAGCAGAGAAACATGAGGATCGAACAGTAAAGAATGGAAACAGGATGCAATTTGTATGAAAATGCAAAACAATGAAGTCTGAGTCATTTTGAGACAATTGGTGAACATTTTGTAAATTAAGCATTTACTTTATGATTGTTAGATTTTATTAACAAGTCCTGTAATCTTGTGTTAAATACATTCGATTGTCCCCACCCGTGTCTTGTTCACTACAGTATGTGTTACATATAAAGTTTGGGTTCTTGCTATACTGCGTACTACTTGGGCACTCGAACGCTAGAACCCTCCAAGTCTCAAATGAGATGAATGAGAAGGAGCGTTATTCCAACAGAGTCAAATATGGTGCAGAACTCTCAGGTATTTATATTTTTTAGTAAAAGCGAAATCATCATTATAATCATCCAACCCGCACACAGTGGTTTTTAGCTTCTATCCAATAGAGAAGCTACACGTCTAGTTTCTGGAGTGTTCTTCTAAAAGATGATTGGATGGAATGTATTCGGCTCTTTCTGAGCTACCTTGAGTTCACCTGTGGGCCGTGCTCACAGAATTCTGGCTCACTGCAGAATTCAAATACTCACTTTCAGATCTGAAAGTCCTGTGCGTACTTCTGAGGAGTGCCATAGCGGAACGGAACATTCTCCTGATGCTTTTTGGTTTTCAGTGGATTTTTCACTAAGATCCTTGGTGTGAAGCATGTTGTAGAGTAATACTTTGAATCATCACTGAACAGAACAAAGTTCATTGTGGCCAAGTCAAGATTCGGTATGGCTTTACTTTCATCTATGAATGTTGGTCGGTTGCGTTTTGACAAACATTGTTAGATTTCTTGATCAATTTCTTAAATAATTGAAAACTAAGGAATATATTAGCTCATATCAACCACTTTGGCTTATTGAGTCAAGCATCAGACTTCCAAACAGTAAGTTTCAGGCCGGAACTTCACTTTACATATTTCGATTTGGATGGCTGTTTAACATCAGTAGCCCTCATTTAAAGGTGAATACGTGAGATTTCGTATGTCATAGATGAATTTCATTAATGCATTGACCATTGTAGTTCTACATAAAACGATTCACATGCCTTAGAATATTTGTTGTAATATATATTCTTGACTATACACTTTATGCATTATTTGTGTATTACAAATTGATTACTCTCTACCATCTTCCTATTTACTGAGTTTTTCTGTAATTTCCTCATTGTTTTACTTAAAATTAGGTGGAAGATTGAGTCAACCAATACATTGGTTAAATTACATGCATTTTGCAATATTCTTTTTTGGTTCTACGGGTACACGTTGTTGGACCACATTAATCGCATTAGTTCTTGTTATGGAACGTGCACGTAGTCTATGCTTTGTATTACGATATCAATTGCATATTTACTTAGCTGGCTTCTTGTAAGTTTTTTTCCCTTTTAATTTTGTTTTGATTAATAGTTTGTGTGGTCATTATCAAATATACCTTGATTTTAATAATCCGAATATTAAGAAATAAAAATTTCTGTACGTGTATAGTGAAAGTTGAGATGAACAAAGTTTGTCTATCTTTGCTTTCTATGACATTCGACCAGATTAATTAGAATAATTTTAAAACCATAAAGAACACTACATGGATTGTTTTATCATTTAATTGATTTCTGAGATCATTTTCATTCATACATGAGTGTACACTCAGTATCGATTTCAAAATCTTCGAGCACCGATCCAAAATCACAATATTTCATCCAGTTTTTATTTTCGAACCTTATGGCTTCTCGTTGTTACTGTACCTAGTCATTTTATAGATTAGATTTTCATTGAACCCTAAATAGAGTTCAATGACTTTTTATCTCCAGTAATTAAACATTATCCGGAGTTACAGTCAATTTTCGGCTTTCCTGATATAATCTTCCTTGTTCATAATCACTATAGTGCATCCTTTGTCCTCTGGGACTATGACAATTTCATCTCTAGTTCTGAGTTTCTTTAAGGTTTTTTTGTTCTTGTGAAGTTAGTTGAGTGTTGTCTTTTTTCCATCGAGTTAGCGGTACTATGGTTTATCTTATTTCCTGTTGGGTTTCTTCACTTATTCCGACAGATCGTGGATGTGCACTGCTGAAGAGTCCCACAATAGGACGAAACGGCCGTCCAGTGCTTCCAGGCTGTCTATGGTGATCTAGTTTCAATTGACTCATGATTTCAACCATTGAAATTTTTTAATTTTTTTTATTAGACCAACTATGGATATTGTCAGTAGTTCAGTAGTAGTTCACTAACTTACATCTGAATCAGTCAGTCAGTCAGCTACAACGTAGGACCAGGCACATGTGTGCATCGGTCCAGGTTGCCATACCGCATCAGCACAACAAGACGAACACCGGATTCATAACAGTGGTTAGGTAAAAGGTGGTAATATATAAGAGAAAGATTGCATATAGAGATATAGTACAAGAAGAAAGAATTGGTTCGTAGAAAGAAAGATATGAAGCGATTTTAATCTCTTAGTTTAAGGGAAGACAGGGAGTGTATACACCGACGCCATTGTGATCGATTCTGAGCCATGTCACCAACAGTCTGAATACATTCCTACATAGATAGATTGTTATGTCATATAGGATTTTACCGATTTGTTTACATTCTCAATTCACATTTTGTCTAATTTCTCTTTTTTCCCTTTTTTTTCATAAACCCATCCGTTTTAAATACTGGCGTAACTGTCTGCATATGTTTTTTTTCTACAGATTGTGTAAATAATTCAGTGATTTATTCACCTTTTTTTTCTTAATGAACCATGTAAATTTATTAAATTTGCACTTTATATCTAATTTAAGTGTTTCATGATCAATTGAATAATTGATTGATTGATTGGTTGGTTGGTTGTCTAAGCCCACAGTGTTGCACCTATATACTCCGATTCACAAATATCACTACCCGACTACTAGACATCACTTTTTGTTTTATACACTATTTTCTATCTAATCTCTATGTGAATTATACTGTTTTACCTTAAATTAAATAAAACATTTTTTTTGTAAGGAATATATCAGTGTAGTCCGAGATATTTGTAACAATCAATGTGAACTTAAAAGTTTTTGTTTAAACATATAAATTATGAAATGATTTTCTCAATTATAAATCATGATCATTCTTAATAATAAATAATAATTAGCAAAAATTAGATTATATTAAATTAATTTAATAGTTGAATTCATGACTTAATTGAATCTAGACCACCATGGTAAACCTGAAAGCACTGGACGGCCGTTTCATCCTAGTATGGGACTCTTCAGTAGTGCGCACCCATGAAACGGCCGTTCAGTGCTTTCAGGTTTACCATGGTGGTCTAGATTCAATTAACTCATGAATTCAACTATTAAATTACTATAGTATCCACAATACCCGTCTCTAATTATATGGAATTAGTTAGTTAGTTAGTTAGTCATCACAAGGCAAGCCCTCGCATGGAATCCTGAAGGTCAAAGGAGGAGAGGAAGATCAAAGAACATATTACGCCGGGAAATGGAAATAGACATGAGAAAAATGAACAATAATTGGATTGAACTAGAAAAGGAGGCCCAGGACAGAGTGGGTTGGAGAATGCTGATCGGCGGCCTATGCTCCATTAGGAGTAACAGGCGTAAGTAAGTAGTTAGTTAGTCAGTTAATTAGTATGTAGCATAATTGAATTCAAGTTGTAAGTGAATCATATCTAGTTCATACGTTATGAAAAACCTGAGTATTTACGGTTTTATGTTGATAATAGATGTAGAACTGAGTACAGTTGACAATCAATAATCTTATAGAATAATATAACATTTTTTCAGTGAATCAATTAGTTATAAACAATGTTGAAGGTAATATAGAATAGAAGGAATGTGTCAGCTAGTAGTAAAATCTAAGATGCACGTTTCGTCCTATTTCGAACTCGTCTTTAGCTGGATATACTTGCATCCTAAAATTGATGTTCATTCCAGAAATCCAACTCAATGTTTAAATAAATAAAAATATCCTCACATAATAAATGTATGGATATGGAGAATCCTGATTCCAAACCAATGATGTACATGAACTCCAGGATCCTAAGAAAACAAATGGTATATGAACCTATTGTTGCTCACTTACTACCATGAAACTGCATCTGCTGATGTTGTCCCACTGCTTTTTCGATTAGACCTTTAAGTCAAATGCTCGAGGTGTGACCTGGGGCACCTGGGCAGTATCCCTCAACCCTTCCATATATATATATATATATATATATATATATATATATATATATATATATATATATATATATATATATATATATATATCGCTTAAAACCCTTCATTTATTATCTACTAAATTAATTATTCAGTAGTTTTATCAATAGTGTTTCTTTAACTGTTATCATTAATTGAAAATTCTTTGAAAATAATTATTCTTAACAAACCAATATGAACTATAATAATCGATTAGAGCACAATGAATCAATTCTTAATATCGATTGATTATGAAGTGAATATTTTTTTTTGTTTTTTTCTCTCATATAAACAAATTTATTATCATTCATAAATGTATATTTGAAAATGAAACTTATTTATTGAATATTCTTTACAATTAATCAAATAGTCATATAACACAGTGTTTAGATTTTTCTATTTAATACTGATTGTAATCATTGATTTTAGATGGTGGTTGGAGGTAGTCAACAGGGTTTCTCAATACATAGTGCCCGCAGTGTCGAGTCACCTAGACTGATGGCCACATTGCAACATGATCGATAGCATTCGATCTGCACTAATAAGGACTAGACAAGCATGACATTGATCACCACCCAGTGATCAATCAATTGTAATCATTGATTTTATTGAAATAATGGAACTTCTTGATAAATTGATATCATATTGTTTTGATCTATCTACTTTTATATAATCACTATCATTACAATCTACTCTTATAGTAGTCAATATAACATAGAATAGACTCTGATTTCCATGATGGTTGATAGCCTTATTGATTGTTTAGTATTCTACATTTCAATGTTGTTGTAACCGTTGTAACTGCCCTGGTACGACCGAGAGTGGGGAGAGTCCGCTCTCCCTCTCGAAATGCTCTCACATGGGCACATGTATATAGCCTCTGCCAGGGAAGTCCTACTCACTGCCTTCTCGTGGCGGGGGTGTTGTTTACGAAAATGAGAGGACGAAAAGCGAACGTCCGGCGCTTTAACCGGATCACAAACCAATGGTGCATATGGGCTCCAGTATCCTGCGGGAACAAATGGCGAATGAACCAATTTTTGGTCACCGGCTTCCACGGGACTGCATCTCCTTACGATGCTCCACTGCCTTGTGGATCAGACCTTTAGGTCGAAGGCTCGGGGTGTGGCCCCCTAAGAAAACCACCTGCTTTGGTTTTGGCACCCGGGCAGTATCACAGCCCTCACACATATCGGATGAGATTTGTGTGGCGCATATGTATTTGGTGCCTCTTTGTACCATTATCTATGTGTTGAAATAAATTAAAAAAAACAAGAACATATAGGTGGAGACAACCAATGTATTTGGGTGAAAAATAATAGTTTCTTGATAGAATATCAAAACCATACATGGAAATGTTTCATTGGCAAATATTCCATAACAATTACTCTTTATTTGCATTCCACTTCTGATTGTTGTTATATAGTACTTATGTTTGTCAACATAAGTAGCATACACTACATTGTAACATTTCTTACTTGTGATTCCCTCATTTACAATTACTCCTTTCAAGTCATTTATAAAATAGATCGATATTAATTAAAATATATGATAATACTGTGAAAATGATAATGTGAAGTTCAGCGATATTGTGAACAACAGTGGAGCTACGTTACAAACAGAGGAAATAATCGGAGAATGTAAATCGTTAAATGATTCCATTTCAACATTTTAAAAATCATGAGTCAGTAATCTTCGGTTCTATGTGTAGTAAAGTAGTTTTAAATGGAAATTACTGTTGAGGAATCCTTTATCCCTAATGAAACGGTTATGCAATTCTTCTTAGTTAGTAAGATAATGTCACTAAGCCTCTTTAAACGTGATTCCCGTTTGGTCAGTTCTTGTCTCGTGGAATGCATGGTGTTCAACTTTGCATGTTTCTTCTTAAAGATAAAGGTCATATTATCCAGTCGTTCTAATTTCTTATATGAAACTCATCTTTGTATGAATTGTATTGAAGTTGTCTATGAATTTACTTACTTATAGTTGACTAGCTATCCATTAGATGAAACAGTAATTGGTTGGAAATTTTGACTGAAAAGTAGTGTTCATTTTGTCTGACCACGTTTTTCGAGAATCATGCTTAAAAGTGAATCAAGATTAGGATACTACATTCGTAGCTGTGAGATGACTTTGTAAGCACGTGACAACAAGCATCGTTCTAATGTTTAACATACCTGACAGCACAGTATATCTTCAATCTCGAAGGAGAATAATGCTCTTTGTGTAATCCAAACGAAGCATCACCACCAGGTTGAATTGAATAGACTTTTGTCTACAGTTAGGGATAAAAACTACGCCCAGAGAACTTTTAAAGAGGATTATTGGAAATGAAAGAAAAACTAAACTAGAATGTATATCGAAAGATTAGAAGTCTATCATGGTCATCCCACACCGTAGTGAAACATCGGAAGAAATTAAGAGGATTCTAAACAAGTATGATATAAGAGTGTATCTTCGGACTCGTGACACCATAAGATCAGCATTAGTGAAAGTTAAGGATAGGTTCCCAAAGGAAGAACAACAGAATATTGTTTATGAGATCAACTGCCATGGTTGTAATACAGCTTATGTGGGAGAAACTTCCAGACAACTGAAGGTGAAGTTGAAGGAAGACAAACAATGTCCCCAAATCCTCGGTTGACCTAAAGAAACTTGAGAATAAGTCGGCGCTAGCGTTGGGAACGACACAAGATTAATTTTAAAGGGACCAAAATACTTCAGAAAGGTTTTAACACCCATAAAGAAAGATTAACAGCAGAAGCTCTGTATATATGGGCGTATAAGAATAGTCTGAACCGAAAGGATGGTATTTAACTAGCGACTACTTGGCAAATGTTCGTAAACAAGTAATTGGACCCATTCTTTATGCAACCTGTTTATTTCACATGCACCGTTATTCTGACTGAAATTAATGTTGGTTATTTTTAGCAATACGATTATGTGTTTTATCAGAAGGGGTTTTTGTGAAGGTTTTAGCAATTTCATGGTTGAATTCATTAGTCGATTAAAGCTAGACCATCATGCAGAACCTGGAAGCACTGGACGGTCGTTTCGTCCTTGTACGGGACTCCTTAGCAGTGCGCACCCACTCGCGGGATTCGAACCCAGGACCTATCGATATCTGATGATTTTCATTTTACATACACATCAATGATTCAGAAACAATTTTTCAACCTTCACCTTGCACTTTTATTTTGTTATTTTCCTTTCATATAAAAACATTAACACGTAATCTCAACTATTAATAACTCAATCTTACACATACATACACACTCAACTTGTTAGGTTATTTATTTTCACATCGTGACCTTTCCACGTGACTTATGTTATTCTATTTACTAAGGTCAACATCCAAACATGATTGGCTTAGCACAGTATAGATTGGATTTGATTGTTAAGCTCTGGATATTTGATGGTTTTGATTATTACCCTGACGAAGTCCAGACCAGTTTTTTGGACGAAATATTGGAATTATTCTAGATTTCAATCACTGAGTTTATTTCAAATATAGTTGTCACATATATTATGACTTCCCTAGTCTTGGCGACCAATTTTGGTCAAACTATTCGTTCTTATATTGATGGATATCCGTATTAATCAAATTCTATCGATCTTGTTGAAATGAGACATGAATGTTTGTATTCTATAAATGTAAGTCGATTACTCAATCGTTACATATAGATCTTTAGTTTAAGAATTGTCTTTTTTGAATGATGTCTTACCTCAATTAAAAAATTCATATACCAAATTACTATTTCTATGTATATCTTTTGCATATTCATAGTCTCACTTATATCGAATCATTTGAATAACTTCTATCTTTTCAATCATTATTTGCTTACCTTCTGCTTTCTCGTGTTCTGAGTATAAATTCTATCTATCTTACAGTATACGTTAAACAATTCAATTTGATTAGTTACTGATAATTGAAGACCTCAGTCCAATTTCTGTGCATCTAATTTCATGCTTTTACGATTTAGTCATAAACTTATTTTGCGCTTACTCTCGAATTTACAGTTATTCGATATGTGAAGATTATTGTATTGGTTAATCTTAATTTGTAGAACACCTGCAGTTGTCACTGGTCTACTACTGTTAACATCATTTGGTCATGTGGCGAAAGATATCGATCCGATTTTTCAATGTGGTACTAATCAAGTAAGTGAAATGTTTTCCGATAATTGTTTCACTAATTCGCTCATAGTAATAGCTAGTTAAGTATCGATTACGATGATAGATGGTTGGAAAAAATCAGTAGGGGCTTCTGAATCTGATTTTCATGCTAATTAATGCTTATCGACTTGAAATCGCTATGAGAATTTTGAACATGTTCGCAGGAAAGCTTGTGAGAATGTACTTCATTTAATAAGCTATTCAGATCACCAATCTTTTCGATCTACTCTAACCCTAATAAATTCAAATCATGTCGATTCTTCAGATGTCAAACGCCATCGGATTTGTGTTTTATGAATTGCACCGCGCATTTAGCTTCTGCTAGCTTCACTATATCTCCTGAGGCATTTCGGGAAACATGTTCGATTGGTTGAATGCACGGACACCTTAGCTTACAGCACATATTTTTCGAAATCAATGTAATATCCGGAACCGTATCTAAGTGAAGACAACTAGGTTTTCCACTCACTAATAAGCTTACATACTTCCGTTTACTTTGAAATTCAACTTTAAAACTCAAACGTATTCTTGATTGGACTCTGTGAACGTCGCTTCACATTTACGCTACGACATTTTGACTGGCGTTTATTTTGATGAACATTGGCCTTCTTTATGACCAATGCGACGACAATTGCAGCACTTGTAATTTCTAAACGGTCACAATTTGACAAAATCCTATACTCAACAAAACCAACATGGTAATGGTTCGCCAGCAGGTTGTTGTGCGCTTGCTGTGTTTTGTTTAGAAGGCTTTGAGGATTTGATTGGATTCACTAATCTGAAATCGGAAAGTTGCACCATCGCGGTATAATGTTTGAGATGTAACAGACGTTGATGTTCGGCTGTGACCATTTGTAGAGTCATATTACGTTCCTGCTCAATTGTCATTAAAATTATGGTGCGGACGTCAACAACTTCTGGATTCTTTAATCCGCAGATAAAAATCAAACATTTAAATTGATCTGATGTAATTTCATACTCTCGATTTACTTTTCCAACATAAGTGATATAATCATCGGATCGAGATTTTAATATTTTAAAGCATTGATAGCTAATGCTAGATAATGAGGACTGTATCATTAAAAGATAAATTCCGAGGATTTTGTGGCAGGATGAATTTTCGAATCTTTTAATGGCCACTGTAATACGTCTTGACTATTCTGTATCTTAATCACCATAGTTTACACCTAGTAAGTAACCTCAGTCAATTCATGGTACATAACGTGCATTAGCATTATTTATTCATTTTAAACTAATCCTGAACAGTCACTTCAGTAGTATTGTAACTCACACATAAATCTATGGTAAAAACAAACGGCATCGTTTATGAGATAATGTTTGCAACTTTTTTATTCTCTTTTTTCAATTACCATTGAAATTGAGATCTTAACACTGTGTTTTGTTTTCTTGTTTGAATTTAACATCAGCTGATTATATCAATCGTAGTTTTGATAGTTAATGCATCTGGTACTTTAGCCTGTTTAATCAGTTTTATACGAATCGATGTTCCTGTACAAGATTGTTATGAGATTAAACCATCACCAGATGTAAGTTATCGTATATTATTATTATTATTATTATTATTATTATTATTATTGTCACTAATACTAGGTGATTAGAGACAGTTTTACCTAGGGGTCATGATAGTTGGCCGTTTTCATGAAGATGTACCCTACAGTCTTGAAGAAACTGGTGTTCCGTGTGGAATTCGACTTGGTATTAGTGACTTTGTTGTTTGACGTTCTCTCACTTATATTTTTCTACTTACTACGAACATTTTTATCACTGTTTATTTACTATCTCCTACTTCATGGTTATAAAACTTCATTACCTTTGAAAGTGGAGGACATACATAAAGGTGACTAGTGTTTGATTTTAAATATCTCCGACACATAACTCATGCATGTTGAATAAACCCACAAGTGAGCATTGCTAGAGTAAACCGTATTGATGAGACGATGAATTTATGTAATTCGAGGCGGATGGGGCATGTTTAACAACTTATACCACAAACGCCGACTCCCTTGGCACAAATTGTTGGCTGTTATAGACGTAGATTGATAAATAATTGAGAGTGACCAAATGAGGCGTGATATCAGCCCATGATGTCATTGATTGTTAGTTTGAATTGTATTGGAAGGTGAAAATGTTCTTGCTTGGGACACATGTAATAAGTGTTTGCAAACTACAGACAGCAACATAGTTCAAAACCGGTCTCAACTATGCAAATTTACTCATTTTCGAGTTATTATGTAATTTCATGCTACTTATCCCCCTGTTAAATTCCTTCTTTTCAAATTATATATATATATATATTTATGATTTGACTTCTTGTACTAATCTATAGTCATGCCAGGTCTTAGATCGTCTATAAACAACTGACTGGTAGACCAATTCTACATCAATAAGAACTTTATGACAACAATTTGTGTTCCACATTTTTCCTTAAACAATGATGTTCATGTCAGGTTTGAAAAAAGACGGTAGTTTAATATATTCACTCCTTCATAGTATTGGTTTAGAGTATCAATATAATTCTCTCAATAATTACATGTCATTTGATCAGTGAATTATACTATATGCAGCGCATCTTGCCATCCCCTAGAACGAATTGATCTAATAATCAAAGTCAATCATATTAATTATAAATTTCTGTTTCAATTCAACCTTTAAATAAACGAGAATTCTGTTATTATGATTCTGATTAGAACATATAACATTTTCTTTGTTGTTGATAATGTTGAACTTTTAACACTTTTATCCATCTAGCAAGCGATTAGCGCAAATATCTTAATCTCGACCTGAATAACAGTAGTAATGTGGTGTGTGCTACTTATGTAGTAATATGTATCGAGAATTGGAAGTATGATTCTTACTGACAAGTAGAACATGAGGAGGGGGGAGAAATGAAAGCAGAAAATGTTCGACTAGCAACAGGAATAAAAGAGTGATGGAACTTGTAAGCGATAATTCAAGGAAGATGTGTAAATGGTGTATTCAATGTAATGTTTTCATATTTTACAAATGCAGTGTGATATTGCTTAATGCAATAAATTGGTTTACTCTCACTAAATCTTCGTTCATTACAGTAAAACCTTTGACTATGATGTTGAGCGATGTGGGTTTGAATCCTATACAAAGCATCAGTTCACTCAATATTTTAAGTACACCTTACTGATGAGGGCTGACTAGTCCAGAATGTTAGTCAAGTAGGGCTTTCGTCGCATGGCGTCTTACAACCAGTTAACATGAAATAAAGTGCACCACAATGTTGAATCACCTAATTCAGTGTTAACATTGTAACTTTATCAACAGAATTTAATCAGTAGCCAATCATGGCATTGATAACCATCCAATGGCCAATCAGTGTATTTTCGGCTATCTGCATCCGTCAGTAGAGCTTTCAATTCATTATAATTCTATGGGAAAACTCGATCATTTTCGTCAGTTCTAGTCAGTTTTCATTAGTTCACATCTTTTTACAGGTAGCAGAAGGAATATGTCGTTCACAAATTTGCAGAAATTTTAACGATTCTGACAAAAATGTTACCAATCAAACACAACAGTCTCAACAAACTTCTCCGAGTAATTCAATCATTACAGACAGTTGTCGAATCACTAGAAACATTGATGATTCCAAGTTACTAAGTTGTGGAAATCCACAAGTTCCACAGTCATGTGATTCTGCGAAATTCTGTAATAAATGTGATAAAAAACAACGAAAAGAATGTGCCAAGTAAGTTGTATTGCGGAATACTTCCTGATTTAATGAAATGTGTAGACAAAGTTTCCTGTCTTTTTCATCTTTTTATGTCGTCTTTTCTATCCTAAAAACTGTCATTTACTTAGTAAAAGTTCAATCTAACTCCAATGTTTATAAATCCCCATCTGAATTTCGCACATATTTCTTAGACAAATCCAGTTGTGTAATCAAATTACTTATTTAAACACATAAACATTGGTACAAAAGTACACCGAAATATATATAGGCAACACAGAAGTTGTGTTAGGGCTGGGATATTGACCGGGAAACCTAACTGAAGCAGGTGGTTTTCTTAGGGAACCGGTCATTGGTTCTTTGACCTAGATGTCTGAACCACAAGGCAATAGAGCAACGTTAGGAAATGGAGTCTCATGGTAGCCGGTGACCAACAATAAATTCATACGTCAATTTTCTCATGATCATGGAGCCCATTTGCACCAATGGTTTGTGTTATGACTTGTGGTCTGTTAACTATTACGCGGCTAAACCTCCAATCAAAACACGACTTATACAATCTTAGTGCTGTGCTAAACCAATGAGACGTTGACCCGTACGAGCAGCCTGTAGTCCTTATTGGTCTTTCTCATCTAGCCATATCTGTTAAGTCCAGAACACCAATACCAGCTTAAATGGTAGGAATCATGTATTTCAGACACAAGTAGCTTATATACAAACAAACCAGACGGCATCACACCACAAAATAGAAAATAACAATTATACTTAATCAAGCCAAAAGTTTCTATGGTTGTCAGAGACTGCAACTAATAAATTAGTAATAACTTAAGAACCGTAAGTCGTAAAATAAGTAGTCAATAAGTCAAATTGAAGTTCATAATAAAAGGAATATGAATATATATAATCTAGTTATTTAAGTTATACGATAAGAATATATTTAAAATAGCAGCCCAGAAGTTACCCATAATTTAATCTTCGTTAGAATATAACAGTTTGGATTCAGGGTTTTGATGGAGTTTTGTTCTCTGGGCTGGATGGTTCGGTCGTGGTGCATTTATTGTTATTCGGAACGACATCATCAGCATAAACTTCGACTTGAAGCTCAGAGTAACAATGAAAGCTCCACAACCAAACCATCCAGTTCAGAGAACAAAACTCCATCAAAATCATTCACCTAAACCACAAATCTCTACCATCTCAAAATCAGAGTTTTTCAACTCCTCCAAGGGAATCCCCCGTACTCACCAACCTGGTTTAAATGCCGAACATTTGTTTCTCATCCTCTCAATTACCTAAGCAAGATCCCCGCTGAGACAAGACAGTAAGTAGGACTTCTTTGGCAGTGGCTGTATACACGTGACCATGTGTAAGCATTATGAGAGGTAGAGAGGACTCTATTTTCCCTCAGCCGTACCAGGAGATCTGTGGACAGATTAACTTGAAAACACAATATAGAAAGTTTAATACGAAAGGTGTTTTGGAGTGTCATATTTGAGTTATGTAGATCAGCAGAGAAACCATGAAAGTACGTAACATAAACACCCATACACAGAAAAATGTACATCTGTAGATGATCATAATTATCTATTTTCTTATATTCACTTGATCCTTTTCTTTCTTCCTTTGAAAAGTCCTTAAAGAGATGAATGATTGTGAAATTGAATAGTTTCAGTGTTTGATTTGCTCAGTTGAGTTGAAACTTTGTTCGAGGAAAAAAAATCAAACCTCTCAGATATATATGATTAATATCGGATGCGTTTTGTGGATATTATAGTAATTTCAGTGGTTAATGTCATGAGTCAGTTGAAGCTATACCACCATGGAAAACCTGGAAGCACTAGACGACCGTTTCGCACTATTGTGGGAATCCTCAGTAGTGCGCATCCACGACTTCGCCCCCTGCGAGATTCGAATGCAGGACCTACTGGTTTCGCGCGCGAGCACTTAACCACTAGACCACTGAGCCTGCATCCGACGGTATTAATGTCTAACTTCAATTAATCCACGAAATTGAGCGTCACATCCACCATTGTCTTCAATGAGTTACTATCTCACAACAGACCTGGTTGAACTCCACTGGTCACTACTTCTCACTAGAACTCCAGGATATACCTCGTGAAGCCAATCACTAGCGAGCATATGTTGATTAGTATCAGATGGGTTTTGTGGATATTATAGTAATTTCAATGGTTAAGATCATGATTTAAGTTGAATTGATGGGACCCAGTGTAAATAACTATACTTTGTTCTGTTATTAATTATTGAATAGAATAAAGAATCAGTATAATAATGAACTTTCATAATTATTTCTACATCAAACACTAAAATTGTCATCGCTAAAAACAGCCACGTAGATTTATCATAATTAGAGAAGATTTTCACAACCTTTCACTGACACAATACACTAAATACTGATAAGTATTTACTTATTTACGTATGTTTTTCGAGACAGTTCATATTTATTTCTACCAAACTTCAATTTTTATAGTAGACAAATGGATTAACTTGACTTTGATCATAAATCAAATGATCACTGTAATGTTATATAGAAATGACCTTTGTAACATCACATACTGTAATTTAGACACATTTAAGTAAATCTACCATGAATACCATGTGCAAATTAGATAAACCTTCACCAAAAACCCAAAATTAAAAATGTTATGTCCCGATGAGAATAATGAATAGTAACTGTTGGAATCTATATCTGAAATAATACTATACGTATATTTTTATCGTCTAATTATTAAGTTACTAGACTATTCATATTCATGTCGCTCTTATTATAAGCTTTAATTTGACCCATAGACTATTACTATACGATTTACCATTCTTGAGTTATGGCCTGTCTATTAATTACTACCTCCCTCATTCACAGCCATATTTGGCTAATTCTTATACAAATGTTATTTCATATTTTATTGGTACGACGTGGTCTGTCTGATTGGTATATAAACCGAGTATGTTTAAAATAAATGATTCATATCGCAGAGACTGAGATTTGTATTCTGGACTTAACTGGCTGGGCTAGGCAGAAAGCAGGACCAATAAGGACTGTAAACTGCTCGTACGTGTTTTATGTGTCACTGGTTCGATCGATGATTCACTGCTGTCTAATTGGCGGTATCGTTATGTTATACATCAACAGGGCTCACTCGGCCACAAGTTATAAAAAAAACTATAGTTCTGAGCTCTCTAATGATTTACTTTGAGATGAATTTTTTAAGTTGTAGTGGGTAAACCACCTGGATAATCATCACGATATATCGCAAATTGAATAAAGTTTGAAAAGCATACCATTGAATGCCAATTCAGTGATCAAATGGTTAGATGCTGATATCACGAGCTTGAAATCCTGAACTTGATCTTAAGTGGGGTCTTCGGTGCATATTACTAAAGAGTCCCATACTAGAATAAAACAGCTGTGCAATGCCTCTTGATTTTCGGCGGCACCCCAAGTGAGATCAGTTTGTGACACATATCACCTATAAATTTTATGAGTCTCTACGGAAGTCCCAAATTAAGCACATTTTATATCGATTAGCATTCGTAATATAAAAAAGGATAGTTAATAGGAAACCTTGAACCCAAGTTTGATATTAGTCGATACCCATCAGGAAGGTATACCTGAAGTAATAAAGAAACTGATGCTCGGTTCAGAGTTCTAACACTTGCCGCCTAGTTTCTTAGTCTGAGACGTTACCAGTGAACTATTTAGGCGATGACTGACTTCTAAATATTCTGCCTGAACGCTTGATTCGGTTTCCTAAGCTCTTCTAGTAACTCCAGGCGAAATACATAAATTAGTTGATCACTGATTCGTAAACAGTGTAATGTTTGTATAGTTCCAACTAACATAAAATCGATGTCCAGGACTTGCTGTTGACTATCTTCATCTGTCTAACACCTCGACATGGTGCACTCAATGTCGAACGACGTAGACTGAAAAAAATTTGAATAGTACCAAAGGACTAGACAAACATAAAATCAAAAGTCCCAGAAGTGAGGTACAGCTTCTTCTTCACCTACTAACTACTATTTCCAATACTAATGTAAATAACACTGATATTTTCTATGCTCTTAGTAAAGTAAAAGAAAACTTACAAATTGGTAACATTTGTTATGTACAACATTAATCGAAATTATTGACCTATCTAATGCTGTAGGAGAAACATCATCGTACATATTTCTCATCGCCGTGCAAGAATTATGACTAATGGGTATCCCAAAACAGACTTGCATATATACCCAACCAGTTGTATCTAGAAAATTTGTTAAAGTGTAGTTCATTATACTAGTTCAATTTGATGGATACATTAAACTATCGATCACCTGGTCAACGTATTTTATAATGCACTCATTACACGGAATCTAACTCAAGAACTAACTAATAAAGAATAAATCTTGTTGACCTCAATAGAGTCAATCCATAATAACGTAAGATTCATGTTGTCTACGATTATTTAACTTAATAAACACTAGAGTTTATTATTCAAATCAGGCTTTCTTAACTATAGATAAAGAGATGTTTGTATTACTTGAAGTTGTTTTTTTTTCACTGGTTGTATAAAATTACTACCACTTAAGAGATAAGAACAAAACATCAACTCATTCATTCTATGAATTACGTAATAAAGGAGAGAAAAACAACGACCATATCAATCCAAATCAGCTTAGTTTTCTATGCTAGAAAACGTGGGAGTTGACGACAAGGAATGAAAAAGAGAATGTAATGAATATGTTACAGGAAGTAGACTACAATTATAATGATCAAATAAATTCATGTTTTTAATTGGCTTCCTGTCTGATGTAAACAGGGAAACAAGAAACCCTGACAAACTACGAATGCTATTTTTCGGGACTTTATTTCATTTTATTCAAAGCTTGTAAAACATTGACATTTATTTTTGTCCTTATTTTATTCTACAGAACATGAGCTTTCGTTCCACCTCGAACTCACGCGTACTGGCCTCAAGGTAAAACCGATCGGCCTATCGCGTCAAGGTCTTAATCTAGAGTAGACAGATCAAGGTCATAGCACTGTCGTTGTTTGTTTTAGTAAATATTTTCTTTTTAGGAAGAAAAGAAATGAAATTCAACATTATTTAATAGTTGAATTCATGAGTCGATTTAAGTTAGACCACCATGAAAAATCTGGAAGCATTGGACGGAGTCCTATACTATGAGAAAACGACCATCGACTCATGAATTTAACAATTGAATTACTACAAACTCCACCCCCCCCCATTCAACGTTATCAGACATTTCTGTTTATTTTCATTTTTTTCTATGGATAAACTTCAAAGGTACTCCATGTAGTAAATTAATGAGTTCGAATTATTTTCATTTTTCTCTTTTTTTTTATTCATTATCTATCTAGAATTCTTGCACGATATTGTGAAGCAGATCAACCTTCCATGATATCGTCAACATCAGCTACGCATCTAATAACTCAACAAATTTCTTTAAGACTTGAGTTAGATAATGTTCATGCCCAGGAAAACAATAAACCTCCACATCATAAACATTTGATATTCTTAATATCAATATTAGTTACAATGTTTTTCGTAAGTTTACTTTCATATTATCAATGTATGTATGTGTGTATGTTTCAGTTGATTAACTACTGAGACAAACATAACCTAATCCAAAATTAAGTGTTGTATATGTTTAACTTTAATTGATTTGTGGTATTTTGCGACCATCTCCTATTGTCTGCAGTGGATAACTGTCTTGCACCTGACGTGGCTGAACTCCACTAGTTGAAACTTCTTTCTAGAACTAGAATTGCATGTAGAAGCTTGTTGACAGGATCTACTCACCCTTATACTAATTAAGTATAAATCGTTAATTCATTATTATCGATCGTGATTAACACCAAGTGAGATTTCCTCATCCTTGTCTCTAACCCCGTGTATGTCTGTTTATATGTTAGAAGTGTAAGAGCATTCAGTGACTCATTTTTTATAGCTTCACGGTTTGCATTAAAATCAAAGCAGGTTTTCTAACTACAGGGTAACAAAATACATTCTGCTTAGAAAAAATCTATCTGGTTAAACGCCACTTACCATACAACTTACAATCTATTTACTGTTCTGTTTGATTTTCAATCGTTGAAACAATCCTGTATTAGAAATCTTATTTCGGTGACTTCATGAGTGATTGGTATATTTAGACCTCATTCAGTAAGCCTAATTCAGCACCAGATACATTAACCCTTACCGAGTTGTAGTAAACGTTTAGATTTTTTTTAAGTGCTATAACATTAAAAGTGAAGTGAACAAAAACTACAGCATAGTTTGTTGAAAAAATAAACATCTTATCTTTAATATGGGGTTGTAGAGATTGAAGTCATCAACCGGTCAATTTCCACAACCCCATAATAAAATTATTATGTTCTGATTAGTGACTAGCTTTGAGAGAATATTCTGAGAGTCCTAATGAGCAGCCGCGACCAGTGAGGTACAACCGTGTCGAGCGTAAGACATTTATCCACTGAAGGCAATGGAAGATGGTCACACAATATTGCGGACTAGTCGGAGTTAGACATTAACACCGATTAATGTCAGTTCAGTGATTTATAAGTTTAGCGTTCGCGCGAGATCGAAGGCGCTGGATTCAATTCACGTGCGTACTGCTGAGGAGCCCCATAGTAGGGCGAAACAGTCTTCCAGTGCTTCCAGTTTTTTAATGTTCTAATATTGATCGGATCATAATTTCAATCAAATTACCTAATCTTCTTGAAATACTGATCGTTTTTTATGAGAATCTAAGGTTAAATGATATAACAAGAAAATTACGGTGGTGTGTAACCACGTTTATTTGTCATTTTGAGTTTGATATCATTTCATCCATTGCTTACATATATTTGTTTTGAACTATAGTTCCTTAGGTTTGCAATTCTCCACTGTAGTAGATACTAGTACTTTCTTTTTGCTTATTTTTTCGATCTATTTTTACGTTCGTCTTCTGCAGCTGGCAGCTTAGATAAGATCAGATTTCCCTCAGATTCCTATGTCTGGCTATATTTTCAAAATCATTGTTGTTAGACATTCACATTTTTGTCGCTACACATGTTTCTAAATACATAATTAAGTTAAACAGTGAATATGAATGAAATATGATATTTGAGCTTGACAACATCTTCAACTGTTGTAGAACAACTACGACACATATTACTTCAAAACAAATGACCTACATTTTAATTGGTACGAAATACTTAATTATTGAATGGTATGAATGTAACCAGTTTTGAGTTATGTATGGTGGATAACAGCAAAAGACTTGTATTTTGTTAGTACATTGAATCGTACATTTTCCAGCTTCGTTCACAACGTTATTTTGTGAATCACATCAGCTTACTTATTCTTATCATTTCATTCAACGTTATTATCTCCTTATGATAGATTTCGTCATTTTGAACAGAAGAGATCCCAATATGTTCATTCTTCTCTTTTTAGGGTATTTGTCTGTGTACTTGGAGGCTTGTACATGATGCTCCAACAGGTGTTTACATAGTTCTCGAATTTTTGGATGGTTCTTTTAATTTTGGTCAAGGTGTAGTTTTATTTGCATTATTTGGTCTGGATGCAGATTTGTTTATTGCGCCGACAAAACGTTTGTAAGTATAAAACTGAATTTAAACACTTTACCGCTTTCTATTTACTTTCTGACCATGGATATAGTACTAGTTGTACTTGTTCTACATTTCTTCATATTTGTAATCTATAACGAAATGTTGTGGAGATTGTTGAATACATAGTTTCACACCACTGATTGATTTTAACTAGATAACCACTGAAAACTGGACAACTGTTTCATCCCGATCAGAGACTTCTTGGTGATGCTCACCCACAACCTTCCAGTTGTCCAGTGCTTTCTGGTGCTCAATAGTCGTTTGACCAAAGTTGATCTGTGATGTGATCACTTTGTATTTAAAAGTGTTGAGACTAAAAGTATGTGGCTGTTTTTATGACTTAATAGTCATGTGAAGTGACATGTTGTATTATTCAGTGGTTGAAACTTTACTTAGTATAGAAGTTTTTAAGCTAAGAGTATCAATTGCAATCTCATGAATTTTGATTTCATTATTTCGGGAAAATCTATCTGGATTCCATTTGATTCATTTTTATCTAAACTATCACCACATAGTCTGTTCCATGGAAATGTACGCGGTTGCAAACGAATATCAAACTGAGTTTTTCAAAAGACAGTTATAAGGAACTTATAAACTGCTACATACATGTATCTATTCAAATTACTACACCATATCATTAAAACAGGATGAAATTATCAATATCAGTGGTAATAAAAAAATGGACAATACGAACCAATAAGAAAGAACAAATTCACGGAATACAAAGTATGAGATAATTTTGAAACTCAAAATCTAAGAGAAGATAGAAATTGGATATATCTACACCATTAAGGCCTTTCCTGAGTCAAGTCACCCAACGTTTCTAATTAGTGGTTACCATAACCACACCGACTCCGACCAAGTAGTTTACATCGACTAATACACTAGTTCAGTTGTCAATGTCTTCATGTACTGATGCCACTTCTCGGCTTGACCCCTCTAACTGTTTTATTAATGACATATCGATGAGTCGATAACAATTAAGCAATTATCCTAAAGCTAGACATCATCAGATTGTTACCTAGTCCTCATTTGTTGCCCTTGTTTTCACCATTCTGGATTAAACCCACCATCCTTCACGTTTTATAATGAAAACAAAGTATTATTCAGTTATATTGACTCAGTATTCATTGGTTCATATTTTACAGCTTCAGTTAATTCATGGTTTAAAACTCTTCATATCAACTGTCCAACTTAATTGACTTCAAACATCACCAACTTCCTACTATTCTTTCTCTATATAATTCATCATTTAAAAATTTGTTTGTTTTATTCTTTTTCAACTAAATCATTTGTAAATTCTTATTTCTTGGAGTCATTTTCTATCTTTATAGTGAATAGTTTCTATGCTTTAAATTGAATTACCCAATATCCAAGTCTTTTTTCTAATCACTTACTAATGATGTCTAAGATTAATGATTTTTTTAAATAAATAAAAAACTATTTGTTGTGATTGATTTTCACCCTGTGCTAATTGTGTCCTTGACTGAAAAAAAACTAGAAGACAGCGTATTTATCGACCGATTCAATGACACGTAAACACGTACGAACGTAACGGACGACCTAGAGTTACGATTGGTCCTGATTCCCAGTCTACCCCGGCCAGTTGAGTCCAGAACACAAGTCACAGCCTCTGAGTTACGAATCATTGTATTCCAGACATACTAACCAAACATACCACATCGTACCATAAAAATAGAAAACAACATTTTGTACCATATTCAACAAGTGGACAGATATCGACCAGTAGGAAAAGTCCATTTAAAGTCCAAGGACACCATTGGACTTAACATGATAATTATTGGTCTATCCTCCGCATCCACAACACTATTCTATCAACAAAATGTTTTTATTTACGATGTTACGTTATATCGGTATTGGGGTCATATCATTTAATCAGACTAAATGATGCTGCTATATTATTCGATACATTTTATTAGAATTATATTCTCTCAGCTAGATGATTTAGTCGTGAAGCTTTTACTATCTTTCAATATATTGTCAGTATGAACTATAGACCATTAGTGTGAGTTAAGAATTTCTCCACAATTGATGAACAATTTGTTGTAACTCAAGAATCAGATCAGTTAAATTCAAGTCAAGTATATGAATATCTATTTGGTAAATAAGTTATATTGATTCAATGGTATTAGTAAGATTGATTCGGTTCGATGGAGAATACTGATGGGCGGTCTATCCTCTTTCATGAGGGGTAACAGGCGTAAATAAGTAATTCGGTTGTTTGTTTTTTTCAAATGGTAACAAATGTGATTTGTATATCATAAGACAAAATCTGAACTGTTTTTTTTTTCATACTTCCGAGTACTTTCTTTTCCAATGATGATTTCTTTCGAGTACATGTTTATGTTTTTTATTGCTTCTTCTTCCATTTGTCGTATATTTGACTGTTACATTTATAAACAAAATACCGCCTTAATCTATGAATATTCACAGCACAATCAAACAATGTATCATTTTTATGTAGTACTCTTCTGATATTATCCACAAAAGTTAGACTAAACAATCAAGTCTCAATAATAAAAATTCGTAAACAGCTATCAATTGGTAACATCATATCATTGAATTCATCTGTCGGTTATCTTTCATTTTTAAAAGTTGAAAATTGGTTCATTAAGCCATCAAAACTGTACGCCATAACGCCTACATCTAACATCAAGCCTACTCACTTTATAATTCCATAATACAGTAATATAACTTTCTATCGTGAACCTATACATAATTACCTAGTAATTATAAGTTACTAAGCTGAATGCAAATCAATTGGATTCTATTTATAAATAATTGAATAGAATCATCTTACATGGTTTAACCAAAATATTAATGAAGTACTCTGTTCTCTGTAGAATTAGCACTTGGATGCTACTCGATGAAATGTACGCTAATTGAAATTATAAAACAGTACACGTAGGCAACTTGAAGCCATGATCATCCTACCAATCAGTGTTTACTTTTATTTACTTATAATAATGAATCATAATATATATACATGTATTCGTTCTTTTTTTTAACGTTCTCTCTGTCGCTCGCTCTCTTCCATCATATTCATTGCTTGTTGCCATATAAAGTTTATCACGTTGGTTTAGTCATTTCACCAGTAAACAATTCAATGGAAGTTCCAATGAAGCTTTACATCAGAAAACTGTTGATAAGAGTAAAATTGATAAAATAGTGAATCAATTTGTGAAATTTCATTTAAAATCATGTTCAACAAATATTGGTACTGGGAAAATGTAAGACAAAAACTTTTTTATGCAGTTTTTATGTTGTTACAATATCTTGATTATTATAATTATTATCAATGAGGTTTTCGACCCGGTCTACAATCCTCCTCGTTATCCGAGCTTGGGACCGGGAGTAACCCTAGAGGCGCTACAGGAGGAGTTAAAGAAGGAATTACCACTATGCATTTGGATTAAACAATGATAGTTGATCATTAGTGAGTTATTCGTTTGGAATGTGAACTATGTTATATAGTTACATTCGATTGACAAGAAGCTATAAATCTATGCTTTGTTCTTGGAACACTTTTCAACAAACCATATGTACAATCTTGATGAAATTATTGCTCCTCATGGTATTTAAACCCACTTCACTTAACATTGAGCTATTTTGGTTACAATTAATCTCCTGTCGGACTGAAGTATTTTTAGTGATTGTTCATTGAGTTGAAACCAACATCACACCAAAGTGTAGCGCACGCGGATTCAAGTCATATTAATTGGTAGTAACCACACTAAGGCTCGATCGACTAAAGTCAACTAACATACGACATTCAGTGATTAGTCATCATCACCCATGTTTCCTAGATGAAATTCATTACTAGTTTTGATACTGGCCAAATCACTTGTACACAAAAGTTTCTTTCCTCAATCTCCAATCAACTCAACAAATCCATTCTTGTTATTAGGGTTCAGTACGGCCTTCGATGTTACGGGTTTAGGAACGAAAACGATTGAGCTTCTCTAACGCTATAAGTTCTCTTCGGAACTGACAACAGTCGATTATACTCCACACATCAAACCTCGACGGCTAAGACAGGAAGAAGACGGAATTGCATGTAACTTGATATATGTGATAGAACAAGCAACTCAACGAAATTGGTGCGAAAGTTGTTACTATATTAGCAGAATATGACCTTCGAGCATGTATCAAATTAGCGAATTAAATAAACGTGACAACCAATCAGAGGGCAAAGGTCGTGCGAAAAATCAAATTGGTAGAAAGTATGTGATGCGGTTATCGTTCCAAAAGAGATCTTAACCTTTCTAATAAAATCTGACTATTCTTGAGACCGCCTTAGCAGTATTTCACAACTTTTAGTGCCGATCCACTCACCATTTTCTAGTTGGAAAGTTGTTTAAGTGTACTTACCTCTCATATCACTTTCGATGTAATTGTGAAGTTAGAATAGAGGACATTCTCAGGTTACTAGTATTTGCTGAGATGTATCTCCAAAGAATTCGTCATGCATTTTCAAACCACCGAGTTAGCAATACTAAGGTCATCAATAGGGCACCAAATAAGGATGGCAAGTCGTTTGATAAGGTGGTTGGTACATGTACTACCTACCATGAAGTCAATGTTGTCTGATATATAGGAAGAGAGCTAGGCGTGACCAAACGAATACATAACACTAGTTCGTGAAATTATCGACAGTTGTACTGGACTACTTCAACAGGCATGAACTACCTGGTTCAGATCAGTAATTATCGAAAGCAATGGTTAGGGCTTTGGGGTGATATAAGTCAGAATCCTTCATAATGGCAAAGATAAATTTGCTCTTTGTTTTCCCTGATATACTGAATTCCGAAATCTCCTTTTACTTTGTTTCCTTCTTGCTAAACCTAATCTTTTCCACTATTACTATTATCACTACTGTAAAATTAGTCTTGATCATTTTATCTCTCTGTGCTAATGTGGTACAACAATTTGGACCGATGCTCAAACATTCCATATGACTGATTGACTCACTTACTTCGAATATAAATTCTCCGTATTTTGTAAGCTTAACTTCTATTTTTATTTATTTATTTATTTAGAATTAATTCAATTCATTACGAACAAATATTTTATCAGTACACTCTGGAACAATGGTTAATTGACGCCGGTATCACTGATTCCAATGAAGAGACATTATGTTATATAGAATGCCTTGAATTAGGTAATATTATAACGTGTATCAGTCCTATGACAAATGAATCATTTATGAATAAAGATACAATGACTACAATAGCAAATACAAAACGCTTGTTAACATTCACTACTTATGCTTGGGGTTTACATAATATAAGTTACTAAAGAAATTAATTATAATTCATAGCAGAAACTATAATAGTGTTACATTTTTTCTTGCCTACATTATATATATATCTGTCACAAATAAACATTAGCTTTCATAGTTATCAGATCATTGACTGTTCTTGACCATTACTTACTTACAACATGTTCAAGCTCACTTGTCTTTCGATGATCATGAGATGTGTTTTTATTTGCTTTTCATATTCTAATCCCGATGGGTTGACGACCAGAAGGAGAGGAAGGAAAAGTAACATCTTCTTTCAACATAACAACTTCATAGTCTAACAAAACACAGTGATAGTTGTTTATTCCATGATAATTTTCCAGCTTTTTTTTTTTCTTTTCAATATCATTCCAATGTTTGTGTATTTTCTTCCCTGATCATTGACAAACTAAGATTACCCATCTATTTTTGTCATGTTGAACTTTTGTGCTTTTTTTCGTTTGTTTTGTTTTAAAATTTGTTGTAACTGTTGCCGCTTTTCTAGTCTACACTTTTTCTTGGTTCCATCTTTGTATGTATGTTTGTTGACTGCTGTCTGTTTAAACTTACATGGATTGTTAACTTGTAATAAGCCACTGATAATGTTTGGTTAATTAAAACAATAATTGTTTAGTTTAACTAAGCTATACATCTAATGAATTAGGAGATAGGCATATATATGACTGGTATATTTCATAGTTATTGATGTAATATGCTAGTATGGCACAAAATACCTCTTAACAAAAAATGTCCATAACAACTATGTATTCCCCTCTCTAGCACTTGGCATATATGAGACACTGAGGAGAGTTGTTCAGTATTCTCAGTCATTGTATCAATCATTGATGATAGGCTGAAAAATATCGTAACAAGTGACTTGGCTTAGGTTTTCTGATGATTGTCTCAACTCATACTACTTCCAACATCAAATTATAAAATCTTTATGCCCATGTAAAAACTTCCACCTTCGCTTAAAAATCTTCGACGCATCACAAAATTTCATATAGAATCAACAAAGTTATGACAACATTTGAGAACAAAAAAACAATGCCTTTGGTAATTTATTCCACCTACAATGTCGTCGAAACTGTTGTCCGAAGACCACCTGACACTATAATGAAATGATATTACGACCAGATAAAGTCTCGATTAATGCTCTAATGAACTTAACTGATTATGTCTCTAAGATGAAGTCCATTTCAAGCGATCATATGAGATTCAAATTAGACAAAAGTAACAAGGAATTAACTGGTTAAACCAAGAAAAGGATCACTCATGTACTCAGGGATCTCCTGAAGATGACGATTGATAATTCCACTTACAATAAACTACGACCTCGTGGGTCTCGTTTGCCCTGTATGTATGGTTTACCAAAGATAAATAAACAAGATGCTCCTCTTAGAACTATTCTGTCAATAGTTAATTCACCCTAACACAACATTGCACGCAGGCTAGCAGATGCGTTAGAACCAGTCCGTCAGCGATTATTCACATGCACATTAAAAGATTCATTTAAATTTGCCGACGGTATAAACCATATAAATATTGCTGGTAAGTCTGTGGTTTCTTTTGATGTAACATCTTTGTATACCAAAACCATAAACATCATTTGTCACCATTCTGATATCCTACATCTACAAGCATCACAACTCAAACGACTGTTAATAATATGTACAAAAGACGTTCAGTTTCAGTACAATAATTTCATATACTAACAAACTGACGGTTTAGTAATGGGAGGTTCATTAGGTCCTGTATTAGCATTTTCAATGCTATATATATAAGCATCCGTCCGAGTTGCCATACCTCATTAGCACTACAAGATGAAAACCGAATTCATAGAACTAGTTGGTGCAAAGGTATTAATATATAAAAGAAAGATTGCATATAAGGACAATGAGGGAAGAAAGAACCAGTTTGTAGAACGAAAGGTATAAAGCAATTTTAATCTCTTAGTCTAAGGGAAGACAATGGGTATATACACCGACGCTATTGTGATCGATTCTGACCCAGTCTCCAACCCTTGGTTATGATCGTCACGCGGACCCCAACCAAGTAGTCTGCATCTACTAACATGGCACAGACTAGATGTTACTGACTTCAAGCACTGATGCCACGTTTGGGTTTGGCCACCCCTAACTTTCTTCCAACCATTCCCAACACTAGCCAGAGTTGTGGTGATCGGTGTCCAGACATACGCAACACGTGGCCCAACCATCTCAGTCGATGAAGATTCACAATATCATCAACTGATTTACCATCATTCCGTAATATCCTGGCATTGTTGCTGAGTGCTACCAAAAGACTGCATTTTATCTGCGTCTTCACCAAACAGGACTATATAATCTGCGTATTCTAAGTCGATAAGTGAACCTCCTGGTAAGAGATCAATGCCCGAAAATTTAATCGACGAGAATTTTATTTCCAACAGTAGGTCTATGATGAAATTAGAGAAAGTGGACAGCCTTGACGGACACCATCTGAGGTTGGAAAAGCAGATGACAGTTCACTATAAGCTCTGACTCTACTAGTAATGTTCGAGCAAAGAGCCTTCACAAGGTTTATGTACTTCTGAGGCACACCTTTCAATGACAGACACTGCCACAGAACCTCTCGTTCTATGGAGTCAAATGCTGCTTTTAAGTCAAGAAAGACCACCATTGTTGGACGTCGATAATCATGCTTGTGTTCCAACATTTGACGAATGGTGAATATGTGGTCGATGCAGCCACGACCAGGTCTGAAGCAAGCCTGATTTTCTCGTGTTTTCAGTTCACGAGTCCTTGTTAAGCACCCGATAATTATTGAGGCTAGTATTTTAGATGCTATGGTAGTCAAACCAATCCCTCTATGGTTATCACACGATGATTTTGACCCCTTCTTATATATTGGGACAATCAGTGATTGTAACCACTCAGATCGGATTACGTCCAACTCCCGGATTTTAGCTAAAATATTAGTTAACTTAATCGCTTAAACTGAACCACCGTCCTTAAAGACCTCTGGAGCCAATCCATCTGCACCAGTTATTCTTCCTCATTTCAGATTAGCTATAGCTTTTTGAATTTCAACTAGAGTCGGGCGGACCTACTTCAATGTTCCATTCAGGCTGTTTGGGAATGGTGGGTAGCTGAAGACCAGCTTAAATTGTTCCGCCCATCGTTCTAAACGTCTGCTGAGTAGATAAGTGTCGTCTTCTCCAGAAATCATCTCACATGACTTTTTAACTCGTTTCTTTTATTAGTCTGGTGTTGCCTACAGCCGTTGCCTTTTCCATTTCTTTTGCTTTCTTTGCCCATCACTGGTCACGGTCGCTCCTTAGACTTTTGGTTAACTTAGATCTGATTTGTTTTCGCTCTTCATCATGGTCGGGACCTGAGGGGTTGAATTTACGAGAATCTATCAGCATAATAGACAGAAATTTGCTGGTCTTTCGTGAAATTTGATTAGATGTTGCTGCTGTTTCCAAAGCTGTTCGTATATCTTCCCAGGCAACATCTGGGACAGCCTCGTTTCCAGGACTCCCCAAGTATAACCTCAGTTGTTTCTGAGATCTACCTTTGGTTTTCACGTCAGATTTCAACAATAATGGATCTTTCTGCGTCCAGCGGGGCACAAGCAAATGCTTGCTCCTATTAGATCATGATCAGAGTATAAACAAGTATTCCAGAACGAGCTGCAGACTTCTATCTAGCCTCTCCAACGATGACTGACGGCAATAGTCTATTTGAGTCCATAGTTGGTTTGGTGCAGGAAGTCACCATGTCTTTCCCTATACTTAAAATTAGTGTTTGCTAAAAATAAACGATTGTCTGAGCACAGTTGCGGCAGACAATCACCATTATCTATTCGCTGAGCCGGAATACCAAAACACCAGACTAAATGTCTTTCTGTTTGGTTTAAACCACCTACTTGAGCATTAGTCACCTGCTACGAGCACTATGCTCAGCAAGCTTTCTATAAAAGTCACCTTTCACTTCAACCGGGCTGTATTCAGTGAGAACGTTGGCAGAAACGACGAAAACGCGTCCCTATCCTTCCGAGTTCTTACGGAGATGTTCAGCACACACGCGACTGTTAACGGGGACGCATCCCACTAATGCTTATTCTGTCCTCGTACTTTGTGCTATGCCTACATCCGCCAGTCCACGAGAACTAGCCATCGGGCAGCTAGATAAACAGGTGTATCTCGTCAGCTTCCCGTTTTGGCGAGGTGAAGTCGAGCGAATGACCACACTAAGATCCTGTGTTTCGGAGACAGCATACATCAATGGTACGAAATTCTATGGTCTTAGTCAAGGAGACCAAAATTCAAGTCCAGCCTGAATACCAGGAATAAAAGAACCATTATTTTTTGCCAAACACTAATTTGATCAGTAGCTTGATACGAAACGACTATGCGAAATCCTACCTTTAATGATTCTCCAACACAAAAGAGAATAACTTCAAAATAACACAAGTATCAATTTAATCCGGTTATTCATTTACTCTGAAGAAGTGGCTTACGTTAAGTCATGAAACGTCAGAAATACGATTTTCTAATCATTGGGATACAACAACAAAATATATTGATAACTAGATTTCTATTCAATGGTCAATTTAATTGAAACTATCAAATACAACCTTGGCATTGATACCTACAAACAGTACTCAAGGTTTGAGTTTGATGATAGAGATTTCGAATATCATACAAACGCTGATATCAAACTCAATATTCATTGTTTTTCAAAGTCTGTTTGAACAAAAAATGAGTCGAATTTTCAAATTAACCATCACTTCTAGTAAATAATGATTATTTGTTGAGTTATCGATTCAACAAAAATATTTGATGTCATCTTATAAGAGATTATTATTACGGAAAAATCATGAGAAGTATGTAGAGATTGTTTAGTTTGCAGATAGATTACAAAATTGGCTAAAGTTAGTTGGACAATAATTGGAAAACAGAAGAACAGTCATTTCGTCTCAATGTGACTACCTCAGCAGCGCCTAATAACGAAAGTACGTGATATCGAAGGTACGACCTCCCGACGAGTGTATTGCCCTCAGACCACTAAATTGACAAATATTGGTTCATTCCAAAAGATTTATTCACCGGAGCAGAAAAAATTACTAATATTTCATGAATTCAAATAGCCTATGTTATACTGTAACCACACCACACAAAGTCACCGTTTGGTAACTTTCTACATCACTCTTCAATCAGTCGACACTATCTGATATGATTTCGCATTGAAACATAAAAAGTGGACGCATAGGATTGCATACTCTAAAGATAGTATCAGATTACCCATTAATAATAAGCTAGAGGATCTATTCACTACTGCATATTTGCATAACAATCACTAATTTACATTAGAACGTAACAATACAGAAACACAATAGAAAAATGTTATATTTCCTTAGTAACCATAATGGTTATGACGATGATTATTTTTTGAACGGTAGTAATAACAGCATGAAAGTGAAAATGACAAACTAACAAACGGACAATAAAAATGCGTCGGGCAACAACAATAAATATAAAAAGATAGAAAATCCGAAAATGGTGGGAAACAGAAAAAATAAAACATTTTATAAACCCATATGCATTTGTAATTATTATTACTATCATTGTTATCGTGTAAGCAATGAAAAGAATTTCATGTACCTAACAAACAATGTTCATTCACAGGTGGAAACATAATAACAACAATAATATCGATATACAGTAAAGAAGAAATGAACGTTGCCACAAACTGGAGGAAACGATAACAACATTCGACGGTGCATAACTGTTCGTATAATACGAAGAATACATTTTTTTGTAAAAGTAAGATAAACCGTAATCCAATCTACAATAAAGAAAAGAGGATAACAGTGAAATATTCATAGAAATTATTTTAGTATGATTAGTAAGATAGAAATGGTCGTTTGAAAGTAAAAAGCATGGCAAGGCGGACAAGTAGTGTTTTGAGAGCTCTCTATAAGATTCGGATCCGCATCTCCCGACTTCAAAGTCTGAGCAATACGAGCAGCAACTGACCTCTCTCTCTTAGGAAGAAGTGAAATATTTATAACCGATTGGTCACTGTCTTGTTAGTTAGCCGGGTTTTTCGAGCATGGGAACTCCTGTTCTTTTCTTTTTTGTCTTTCTATACTTGGCGACAAACTCATTTCGCAAACACTTTTCAACCAAGGTAATTCTTTTTGAATATTTTTCTTTTGAGAATGGTTTCCGTGAACAACTGGATACCGTTCTAACTAGTCTGTCGAATTTCTTGTTTTAGATATGCTTTTAGCTTGTTAACTAAGTATATAGACTCATATATTTCTATAGAAGGTTTACAGTCTTACACGAATGTTTATAATGAAAAACGTAGGTGTAAATAACGCCTACAACATTAAATATTCAAGAAAAAATGTTTAAACAATAGCACTAGTCATAAAAATGGTATGAACTAAAATAAAAATATATATGGTAGGTGAAGTGGAGTTAAAAGATCGAATCACTACGTAAAAATAATAAATTCAACTCATTCACGAGGTACTTAGGACATAGTGATAATCACTGGTTGCTCAACCCAAAGTAGGCGGAGCGATGCTCGAATACGGAATTTGGTGGCTGAAAGTCGAACCTCTCAACCACTAAGCCACCACCAGTCCAACACTACTGTTAGCGCTCAAGAAAAAATAATTCACTCACAGAATTAAACTACTCATAAGAATGGTGACATCACTCAAATTGTTGGGGTGATACAGAAATCGCTTGCAAAAGACAAGCAAGCATCAAGAAACACTAAGAAGTGTTTCGTCCAATCAGCGTTCATTTGGAGTTTTGGCCAGAAATATCAAGGTAGCGGGAAGTCACATGCGGAGCTACTATGTTTAGTAGCATTCCAGAATATTCCAGCGATCCAAGGACATTTAGATATATTATAAAAACCCTATATTTTCTGTAATAAAAAGGAACCTTGGAGTAAAGTATTTTCTCTCGTACTTGCGTCTTCTCTCTGGTGTTGAAGTCGCTGTGTAGTTCTAGCGTGCGGGTCATCGGAATAGCTTAGGAAATAAATATAGCGTTCAATTGACAAGACTTATCACAAATAATTAAGGTTCCAAAACTAATAGTCAGTGACTCACCTAATATTATTATTCAGCATGCACTCGAAGACGTCGTCCTTCAAACATTTTACCGTCAAAAGCATCTATTTAAAAAAGAATAGAATATATTCAAGAGAAAGTGGGTCGTTGAATTTCTCTACCTCATTGTCGTTTATTCTACTGAGTGATTAATGTGCTGGCAATACCCACTAAAACATTCTTTTCATTTCCTCTTATGAACAATCACTCTATTCCCAACCGGTGTGTTAATATTTTAGTACTTTTCCCTGTTGTTTTCCAAGGTCAATAATAACAAACTATGTATAGAAATAACTAGTACATTTTGTAGAAACAGTAAAAGGCTTAGCCCGGAAGATTAGTCTTTATTTCCAGAACGACATCGATAGCAAAGTTGAAGAGTAGTGGTAAGATCGGGCAAAACTGTCTAACCCACTACTTGAATGGAATAATGGAGAGATGTGGTTGTATGCCCTCACTCTACCTGAGGTGTCTGCATATAGGACTTTTAGGATGTTAATAAACTTCTCAGGAACACCCTTCTTCAACAGACAATCCCAGAGAACAGTCCTGTCCAACGAATCGAAGACAACCCTGATGTCAAGAAACACTAAGATTGTTAGCCTGTGATAAGTATGACGGCGTTCCAACATTTAGTGGAGGGTGAAGATATGATCAATACATCCTCGACCAGAGTCAGATGGTGAAGTTACATTGTTCATCCCAAGATTTTCGATTGTTTTGAAAATGATCGGCTTTTATTCAGTTTCCTCAAACTACAAGTCAAGATACTTAGTTGCTAAACGTTGCTACATCAAGTTTCTTTAGTGTGCCAAAACAGACTGAATTTATCAATTACGATAACGTGAGAGGAGAATACCTATAAAAAAAATACACACAAATGGACGCACATTGTTGTTTAAAAACACATAACAGATCAATACACCATTTAATACACACAAAATATGCATAATTAACTTTACATTCAACAACTAACCTATTGCACGATAAATACCATCAATATCTGCATAGGTGATAAATGCGATTCCTTGGGAGTGACCTTGAGCGTCTGTTACCAGATTACAAGTGTTTAGATCTCCAACTTCTCTGAATATTCTTTTCACATCATGTGAATCAAATGAGAATGGAAGCTAAAAATAGATAGTATACACAAGAATTTCTCCCTAAGTGACGCTGAAATAGTTATTACTGTGACATACTAATTATTTGGTAACCATTTTTGATAGAAATTACGAGCAAATAAACCTTCTATTACAATAATTTAGGTAAGAACAGAGATATTTTACAAATAACCTTAAAATCCGTTTTGATGTGCACGCTTGTGTAATAGTAACTTGATAATAATTGAGTTACACTGACTGTGAGTACACAATATATAACTCTCTTACCAATCAAATATACATTCATATATCTTAGTTATTAAGGCAGGTGATTTGCATTTAATAGGTCCAAACACCCCCTCACTGTGCTTGCACTGGTTTGAACAACCGAGTATCCTGACAATTAACGTTATACACAAAGTATTTGTCTTAAAGCTGGAAACAAAAACCTGTACTTGAAAAAAGAATGACATTAAATAGTTACTAGTACCATACATAATACGCAATAAACAGACAGACAGAGTGTCACTCAATTTCTGAAACACATACTAAGGATTGTGAGTTCAGTAAAATACAAACATTTGATACCCCCAACGCTCTATCAATATGAAAGTTGACAAATGAGTGACTTTTAAAGTAATGAATATTATAGTATAAACTGAGAGAACAAACAACCACAAAGTCAACAAAATAAACTGACTTAAGGTATATGGAATAATCAATGAAGCTCATTCCTACAAGAAGTAAATACTGATGTTGTCCAGAATGAAAATGAAAACTATATAACTCAGAGAACTCAACAGCAACAAAAATCTAAAATCTCGCAGATGTTGAGTAAGAGAATCTGTGAACCATAAGACAACTTAGGATCTGGGTACAAATATGCACTGGTCCAAGCTGCCACATATCAAATTGGGGCAGAGAAGAAAAGAAGATTAAAAAAGGATGAAAAAATATCGAAGCAATTAAAACATGACGAAAGTAAAGAACCTAAGAATAGAAAAAATATTGGTAAGTGATATTCAACACGCAACAACTTTAGATGGAGTACCATTTTGAAAACCAGAATGTATGAATCTACTCACAATAAATTTCTTAAACTTACATTAAGTCGCAAACTTAAACTAAAAGAAAATCTTACATTTTTCACAACTACTTTTTCAGGTATCTGACGTCGATCATTGTTATGTTGTGGACCATTTTCATCACGTCCTCGATCAGATGATCTAGAGTAACTTCCACGGCCTGGAAGATTAGGCGACCCTGATTTCATCAGAGAACCGCCAATATTATATGAATCTTGTCTGTTACTCCGAGAATCTACCCGATAATTACCTAATAAATGAAGATTATTATTATCATTATTATTACCAATATTAATCAAAGAATAAATGAAAATATCAAAAACATAAAGTTGTCAATATGATTCAATTGTTTAGATCATGACACACACACACACGCACGCACGAAGATACTTGAAAAAATTAGCATTTAGAAAAATGTACTTTAGTTATTTGATGCAAAGTCACGTTACTAAGTAAAAAGAAAATTTTTAATATTACGTCGAAAAGAAAATAGAAGCATGACGAGCATGCTACTAGGTAAAGAGAACAAATTGTTATATTTAACCAATGCATTATCATTAGAAGGATAAAAACGAGCATATAATACTAGATGAAAACAATTCCACATTCTAATACTCCACCAATTAAGCCATATCCAATACATATACACATACATTCACTGACATTTACACTTAGTCGGACAATTTACTCAAACTGTCCTCACTGAAATGAACATGAAAAAATTGGAAGTGTCGAATATGATCAGTTTCGATAAGCCTAAATGTATTTTGATTGAATTACGACAAAAATGAATAAACTATGATGCAAATAGATCCATTTGGAAAAATCATTTCAAAAGGAAATAGGTATATAACTGTCATAGAGCTTGGAACGCATCATCAAATCAAACAGTATACTGTGTAGAGGAAAGCGAAATGAACATCAGCACTACATTGTTGACCATCCAAAAAATCCAAGAACTGCTGTACAAAAGCCTAAAATGACACCGGAACTCTGACTAAAAAATACGGGAGGTATTGTGAGTTCCATCACAGAAAACAAAAAATACCTTCAAAAACTTTGATTTATAATTATTAACGACCATAGAAATACACACAGCTGTAATGGTCACAGATAATATCAATAAAAATACCAGTTAGAACTGTATTGGGAAAACATCAGTGTAGAATAACAGAGATTTACAAATCAACGAAATCGAACTTATGCAGTACACAACAACACAAGTTCACTCACACAATCTAGCTCACCTGGAATTTCATACTTTGAACGACCAACATATCCATTGTCAAAATGTGATCTATCAACGCTTCGGTCACCACACCCACCACCATCTCGACCAATAATATTTGAAGCATTCAACTGACCAGACTGATGATCCGAATGAGAATTCTACACACACACACATATGTATGTATAATATAATATGTGAAGAAGATAAGAGAAGAGTGACACAACTGAACGAACTAACGACACCAGATACTGTATACGTTGATTGTATATTTTAAAAAATCATTTATTTGTCCTGACAACATAATCCACATATGGTATTCCCCAGGATAATTAACAAACACTTTTCTTGTCTCTAATCCAACCACTTTAAATACATGCAACTACTCGAAATACATACTGATAATAAGTTAGAAAATAGACAAACTAAGCAATATAATTCTTTGATTTGAAAACCGAAACTTACTGGATAAACTTGTTGAATGTTTTAAGGATAAGATGACTATTCTAAGAGAAGAATGACATCAACTACATACATACGCACATGTGAATCCTCCCTTTTTCCAAACCTACTAAAGTCGAGAAGTTTTAAGAACACAAAATGAATAATTCTGTTCGCGTAGCCAACTCCAGTCTTGAAAAAACTGATCTAATCACTGTAGAATAGTAGTCAATCATTAAGAAATCAAGATAATGAATTATTTCTTTACTTCAAAATTTATGGAATAGTTTTCCTTTTGTCTGAACCCAGAAATCTGTATGACTATCAAAAAAATGTCTATCATCTCCTTGATTTCAATGATAGAATTCAACAAATTGGACTGAATCATTTGATATCAATCATTGAGAAAACGGATTAGTCCTCTAGTTAGTAATCATTAAAATCTTGATAGCCACAAAACAACACTGGAACAAAAAATACACACGCAGACTAAATCCAACAAAAGAGCACCAGAAGCTTTAAACAACGAATGCATAGATACATTTTTAGAAAAATAATTAGCATTGAAAACAGAAATGAGTGGTACTAGCTACAGGTGTAACTGTGCGTAAAAATATTAATCTGCTCACAACTATACCAATAATTCCCATAAGAGCTAATAAAAAATAAACATCTAATGAAAATAAGTGGAATGTCCAATAAATGAGTTACTTATAAAAGCGTATGTAAAATTTAAGCTTCATCAATCGCCTTCAAAATGTCCCCTATTAGCTGTAACATCCGCGAGACGATACCCTAGGGGGCTGTCCGGTGGGTGTAGAGGATAATCTGTCTTAGTGTTCGAATTAAAGACCACAAACAACAATCAACACTAACGTGTAGGTGGACTATCATATATTTATTGGATAGACAATATGCTCATAGTGAAATTAAGACACTTCACTGATTAGTAACCCAACCGTTGCTACTACCCTGACGTGGTGGTTGGGCTTGGCTATCGTGATGAATCGACCGGGCTATACTGCTTGGAACAAGTGTTTCTCAATGTCCTACCATGCCAGGTAGGTCGGCTGAAGAGCGGTAAGACTAAAAGCAGCGTGTCCAAAGTCTGAGGGTGAAGTGATGCTGATTAGAGGTGTGGTGGTAGCAAGGGGATTCCTTCAGACAACCAGTATAACAGCGGTGCTGCCTTGCCACAAAGAAAGATGGGGTTTTTCTGCATGCACCTGGAAAGGAAATTGGGTTCGAGGTGGTCTTAGTGACTTGAGAGCGTGACCTTGGTCCCAAAGGGACAAGTGCTTGAGGCCGGTCACACATGACCTTTTTGTCAGTAATTTTTGTCGATTGTGTACTTGTTGGAACCTTACCGCCGGAGACGGGAATCCGTGGGATAAGGTGAGGTGACTAATAAGTGAATGAAGGTATAGAAAAATTAAAGAGGTTTGAGGAGATACCAAGACTTAGATTCTAAAAGACAAGGAAAGAATGCACCTCCGCTGCTGCGAACGATTCTGAATCATAGCAATCAGTCTTCTAATTCAAGAACTTCGTGGAATAGCTTGCGTATTTATTGGACAAACTGCACTATTTTTGAAAGTATTCGTAGATATGTATACATACCTGGAATAAACCTAGAGTCGATAATACAGAGGTTATTTGTGTCTGAGACATTCCACCAGCGACAGCTGCTGAAATTAATTGTTGTAATCCATCTTGGGGAAGTTGACCTGAGTAGGATCGATTGATTCCTGAACCTTAAACAAACACGACAACAAACATAGAAATCACTATTAGGAACTAACAACTTAATAGTTTCATAAGGTTTAAAAGTGGAACATAGAAATAAATACTTGATCTACCACACATACAACTTGACGATAATATTGCACCACAAAGCAATCACAACCTTAGAAAGTAAATATAGATAAGTTTGAATTTGTTAGTCATTTCCGGATATACAAGATATTGAGAAGTTGAGAATTGTCATTAGACAGTGGGCAAATTCACTGCTGTTTCTTACCCTGATGACAACTGGTAACGATCCTGATCGATGTGCATGCATCCTTCAATTGTTCGAATTCTGTGGGTTGAGAGCAATGATATAACTGAAAAATGAAATGAGGTTAAGCATCCGCGCGAGAACAAAGGTCCTGAGTTCGAGTGCGGCATACGGATCTGCCGAGGAGTTCCATATTAGGATGAATCCGACCGAAGCTGCTAACCTTGACGCGGTGGTCGGGCTTGCCTATCGTCATGACCCAACCGAGCCATATTGGCTGGAACATATGTTCCTGTAGGTTCTACCATGCCAAGCGGGTCGATTGGAGAACGGTAAAACTAAAAGCAGCAACTCAAGGTATGAGGGCGAAGTCGTACTGCTGACTGTAGAGGGGTGTGACAGCAGTAAGCTGTTTCCCTCGGACAACCAGCATCTGCAGCGATGCTGCCTTCCCACAAGGAGGGGTGGGGTTAGAAAAGATCGACCCTAAAAATGTCACACCTCACCTTATCTCACGGATTTCCGTCTCCGGCGGTAAGGTCCTTTGAAGAACAGAGCTAACACATTAAAAAACTCCCACGAAAGGGCCGTGCGCAACCGGCCTCAAGCAGTTGTCTCTTGGGCTCTGCGGTCACGCTCCCAGGTCGTTAAGACCAACACTAATCCAATTTCATTTTCAGGTTCCTCAAGAAATACCCTTCCACGGTGTGAGCGGTCGGGAAGTGACATCAGCACATCAACACACGAGACCAAGTCGGTCACATTCAAATCCTTCCTACAACTCCTAATACCTCTCTTATTTCCATGACTAACTCTCCTCACGTTTCTTTATCACCTCGCACCGCTAGAGCAAACGATTCGAGTACGCGGAACGCTATTCCTGATCTCCTGAAACCACGCTCTAAACTACATGTAGGAGCTTTTAACGTCCGAACACTGTGCCAAATAGGACAGCAGGCTTCCTTAGCTAGAACTTTAGAATCTCGCGCCATCGATATGTGCTGCGTCTCCGAAACGCGCATACAGGATCCGAGTAGCGTCATTCATCTGACCTCACCATGCCAAAATAAAGAACCGACTCGATTCACACTTCGTGTATCTGGAAGCCCTGATTCTGCTTCCCGTGGCCTTGCCGGCGTAGGCATAGCATTGAGTCCTAGGGCAGAACTAGCTCTCTTAGAGTGGATCTCAGTAGAAAGTCGTTTGTGCGCTGTCCGACTAAACGGAACAGTAAGGATCCGAAAAGATAGGGACACTCGTCGTTGCCTCTTCGTCGTCTCTGCCTATTCACCCACTGACTGCAGCGCAGATGATGTAAAAGATGAATTTTACAGAAAGCTCTCCGACCTTCTCCGAAAAGCTAGGCGCTCAGATGTAGTAATAATGGCCGGTGACTTTAATGCTCAAGTAGGTAAACTAAGCGATAGGGAAAGACACCTAGGTGGATCTTATGGTGTCGTGGCTCAAAGAACAGATAATGGCGACCGTCTGTTGCAGCTATGCTCAGATAACCGCCTCTTTCTTGCAAATACTAACTTTAAGCATAAGGAAAAATATCTTTTGATATGGCGACCCCCTAATTCGTCCCAGCGTTGGACCCAACTAGATCACATCGCAATCAGCCACCGATGGAGGGGCTCGATAGAAGACTGTCGCTTAGTCTGGAGCACATGCTTAGATTCAGATCATGCTCTAGTACGAGCGCGTATCTGTCTGCGTCTTACTGGACGTAGGGAAGACGCTGCAAGTAAACCTCTTAGGGACCTACTTAATGATAGTCAAGCTAAGAGTATATTTCAGGAACAACTAGGAAAACAGTTAGGTAGCCATTTATGTGATGCCCACCCCGAGGCAGCATAGAATGATATGCGTAAAGCTGTGGAAACAGCAGTGATATCTGCTAGTACGGTAACCCGTAAGGTTAGGGAACGACACTGAATCTCAGCAGCATCTATCGCACTGATAGATGCTCGGAAACTCATTCCACCTGGCTCTGAACATAATGAAGAGTGGAGTCAGCTTAAGCGCAAGCTGACAAGAAGTCTACGCAATGATCGTGAACAGTGGTGGGTAGCGAAAGCAAGAGAGATGGAAAAGGCAGCGGCAATAGGTAATAGCAGACAATTGTTCAGACTCGTTGGGGAAACCGGTATTAAGAACCCGACTGTTAACGAAACACTCAGAGAAAATGGACATATTATACACTCTCAATCCAGGAGATTGGATCGATGGGCAGAACATTTCAGGGATCAGTTCAACTGGCCTTTAGCCACACTTCGATTTCCTACGATCTCTAGTCAACCTGAGTGGCAAGTTAATGTAGGTCCTCCGTCTCTTTACGAAGTTGAAAATGCAATAGGAAAACTGAAGCGAGGGAAAGCAGCAGGCCCTGACAGATTTACTCCTAAAATTTTTAAGGATGGTGGTTCAGTATTAGCAGTGAGATTAACTGAGGTTTTAGGTAGAATTAGGGAACTGGACGTAATCCTATCTGACTGGTCTCAATCACTGATTGTGCCAGTTTTTAAGAAAGGACAAAAGTAATCTTGTGACAATCACAGAGGAATCAGTTTGACTAATATAGTGTCTAAAATATTAGTTTCAATAATACTTCGACGCCTAACCAAAGCTCATGAAGAGCAGACTATAGAAAATCAGGCCGGTTTTCGACCTGGACGTGGTTGTACAGATCAGATATTCACACTACGTCAGGTTCTAGAACACAGACACACGTTTAGACGCCCCACAATGGTAGTATTTCTCGGCCTTAAGGCAGCATTCGACTCTGTTGATCGTGAGGTTCTATGGCAGTGTTTGTCACTGAAAGGAGTACCAAAGAAGTACATTAACCTTATTCAGGCTCTCTACTCGAACACAACTGGTAGAGTGAGAGCTTATGGCGAACTGTCATCAGAATTGATTACCTCAAGTGGTGTTCGTCGGGACTGTCCACTCTCTCCTTTCTTGTTCAACTTTGTCATTGACGTACTTTTAGAGATGACACTTTCCTCATTTAAATTTCCAGGGGTTGAACTTCTACCAGGAGGTTCACTGGTTGACTTAGAATATGCCGATGACATAGTTTTATTTGGCGAAGACGCTGACAAAATGCCGAGTCTTCTGACCACACTAAGCAACAATGCAAGCATGTTCGGGATGCGATTCTCTCCCTCGAAATGAACAATGTTGCTTCAGGATTGGGATGCATCGACACCCGAACTAATGATAGGGAGTGAAGTAATTGAGCGTGTCGACCGCTCCACCTATCTTGGAAGCCTCATCAACCCTTGTGGTCTGGTGTGTGATGAAATATCAGCACGGATACAGAAGGCTCGACTAGCTTTTGCCAACTTGCATCATTTATGGCGTAGGCGAGATATCTGTCTATCAACCAAAGGACTGATTTACTGCGCAGCAGTTCGTCCCGTCCCACTTTATGGCAGTGAAACCTGGCCGGTAAGAGTAGAGGATATCCATAGGTTATTAGTATTTGATCATAGGTGTCTTCGAAATATTGCTCGTATATCCTGGGACTGTTTTGGATGCGGAAGGATAGACTAATAATTATCATGTTAAGTCCAATGGTCTCCTTGGACTTTAAATGGACTTTTCCTACTGGTCGATATCTGTCCACTTGTTGAATATTGTACAAAATGTTGTTTTCTATTTTTATGGTACGATGTGGTATGTTTGGTTAGTATATAAATAGAGTATGTCTGAAATACAATGATTCATAACTCAGAGATTTGTGTTCTGGACTCAACTGGCTGGGATAGACAGCGAATCGGGACCAATCGTAACTCTAGGTCGTCCATTACGGCCCCCAAATGCCCTGGTACGGCCGAGAGTGGGGAGAGTCCGCTCTCCCTCTCGAAATACTCTCACACGGCCACGCGTATATAGCCTCTGCCAGGGAAGTCCTACTCACTGCCTTCTCGTGGCGGGGGTGTTGTTTACGAAAATGAGAGGACGAAAAGCGAATGTCCGGCGCTTTAACCGGATTCCAAACCAATGGTGCACATGGGCTCCAGTATCCTGCGGGAACAAATGGCGAATGAACCAATTGTTGGTCACCGGCTTCCATGGGACTGCATCTCCTTACGATGCTCCACTGCCTTGTGGATCAGACCTTCAGGTCGAAGGCTCGGGGTGTGGCCCCCTAAGAAAACCACCTGCTTCGGTTTGGGCACCCGGGCAGTATCACAGCCCTCACACATATCGAATGAGATTTGTGTGGCGCATATGTATTTGGTGCCTCTTTGTACCATTATCTATGTGTTGAAATAAATAATAAATAAACCATTACGTTTGTACGTGTTTACGTGTCATTGAATCGGTCGATAAATACGCTGCTCTCTAGTTTTTCAGTCAAGGACACAACAATTAGCACAGGTTAAAAATCAACCATAACTTAACGTCACAACAGGGACCATCGAGTAAGTAATGCAGTTGTTAGGAAACGGGTACTAGGTAAGGATGGCAAATCAATTGATGAAGTGGTGAAACTCCATCAGTTGAGATGGCTGGGACACGTGTTACGTATGCCCAACGACCGACTGCCTCGACGTGCGATGTTCGGTGTTATAGGAGTAGGTTGGAAGAAAGCTAGGGGCGGCCAGACCAAAACATGGCACAAGTCCATCAAGTCATTGACAAGTGAACTGATTCATGTCGGTAGGTGTAGACTACCTGGTTTGGGGACCGCGAGATGATAGCAACCGATGGTTAGAGACCTTGAATGACATGGCTCAAAATCGTTTGCAATGGCACAGGTGCATACACTCTTTGTGTTCTCCCAAATTTTGATCTCTTGATTCCCCCTTGTCTCTTTTTTTTCTCTTCCCAAGTTTATTTCACTGTATTATACTCTTTAAGTAACATCCCCAAACACTAATCTTTCCGATTACTGCTTATACTCTTATTATCTCTACCACTACGGGATTTGAATCGACCACGCCATCTCTGTGCAAATGTGGTGTGGCAACTCGAACTGATGTACGTACGTACGAAGTTCTACGTTGTTACTGACTGACTGGTAGGATGAAACGACCGTCTAGTGCTTCCAGGCTTTCGATGGTGGTCTAACACTGACCGGTTCATGATCTCAACTGAGAACGATTTTTCTTTAAATTTCGCATTTTGACAGACTAAATACAGGTTGAGGGCAGTATACCTGATGGAAAATAAGTGAGACCTTAAATTTGCATATAATTCTAAATAGTAAAATGTAAAACTAACACACAATGTTTGTAAGTCTTAGAAATAGCACAGAATATAAATGTAGTTTACAAGATTCATACTTGGTGAAGCATCTGGGATTGATGACAATGACTGACCAGTAAAGTTGGAAGAGTTATTAGATGATCCAGTAGTTGCCAAAGTATTCAGACCCCCAGAAAGATTTGCATTTGACGCCAAATTACGAAGAACTTCAATTATGCCACTCTGAGGATTTGTATCGGCATTTGTTTTCAAACCAAGTAAAGTCACAAGAGCAGCAATAATATTTGAAGATTGTTGTTGGTCAGTCAGGATAGGATTGGAGGGGATCATTGAACCAGTGGAACCCAGAATTCCAGATGAGCCAGTTCGTTGTGGTGGGGGATAAACTATGTTCATTGAAGCAGGCGTACCCTGGCGATCAATCTTTACACGCATTGGTCTGTCTTTTAATATCTAGCGCAAAAAGTAGTATGAATTTAATCTCTTTATGCACCACGAAGCAACAAATGTGAAAATAGTATATAAGTGTCAGGAATTACGAACGAAAAGAAAAAACTGTACAGCCAAACATCAAGAAGCATTTTATCAACAATGCAATAACGAAATATCTGATGATAGACAATGTTATCGAAAAACCCAGAAAGCGGTATACACTGTCACTTTAAAACATGTTAATGGAAGGCTAACAGATGCAAAGCATCATCTATGGGTTGGTGTACTGTATTAACCAAGATCGACAAGGATATTGCGGCCAAATATCAATGATTCACCTATACTAAACATGACGCTACTTTGACCCAATCTGGAAGACGTAGTCTGAAATTGCACATTGGCTTCGGTTCAGGTAAGAAACCTTCGAGATTTTCCATCCTTATAAGTCAACCAAAAGAGACGAAAAACCTTTTATCCATATGCTGGTGTTGAGGTATATGATATTTCTATAGACCACTTCCAATAATTCTAATCAACTTGAAAAGTTGGAACTTTCTATACCCGTCACATTTTCTCCAATACAAGGTTACGGATACTTATTTAATTTTAGAAACTAACTCACTAAATACAAACACATACCTGGTTGTTAAACATATTGACGGCTTGGACTGCTTCATACGCATTCGAAAATTTTAATATGCCAACACCACGAGAATTCCCTTCTGAGTCTGTTTTTATAACCGAGCTGAGAATTTTCCCAGCTGATTTGAAGACATCTTTAAGCTTCTGCCACGTTACACTATAGTCAAGCTAAAAGTAATGACATAAATTTGAGACATAACCTACATTACTGACGTAAACAGAATCAGTGATTGGTCCGTCCATGCCGACTTGACCTAAGATTTGAGGAGTGAAAACAGGTCCTGCTGCCGCCATATTTACGGAATCGTTGGGATTTCCAGAATCACTTAGAAGCCCTCCGTCAACTTCCATTGATGCAAAGCGAGCAGCATCACGAGCAGTCTCTTGTCGAACGACCAACTTTCTGTCTCCAACTTCAAACCGATGCATCATTTCAATAGCTTTTTGTGCTCCTTCGAGTGTCTTGAACTCCATCAAACTTTACAGTAATAAAAGTTAATACGACAAGATATGACTCCTTACCCCATACCGTTTGGTTTTCCATTTTTTTTAAACAACTGTAGAAAGCCAGTAAACCCGACTACTTTGTAACATCAAAATATTCCAGCTTACTTTGTTCTCTAAACAACTCCTTCAGCTTTTGCCAATTTAAATCATATGGGATGTTTGCAATGACTATGCGTTTTGACCTCACACGACTTTGTTGAGGAGAACGACTTCTTGATCTCCTTTTGATGGGTGAACGATGCCTCGTAGAACTTTGGTCGTCTTGACTTCTGTGGTTTTATCTTTAAGAGACAATGACTAACCTTTCGCCTGAAAAAGTACTCATGGATGCCAACAGACACTAGATCGAGTAGAGCAGGAACGTCGAGTACAGATAAACAGAACCAAATTGACCGCTTCACTTTCAACATCATTCGTAGAAAAGTATATATGTCATATATGCATATTTAATTGATTCACAGATCTGAGAAAACACAATAAGTGAATAGGAATCCCGTAAGTCGTGCTTCTAAACTTTCCGATGTAGTGGATGATATCAGTGGCGCCTTTCACTGATGTTACTGTCTTTTCTTTGGGAACTCCATTACATCTAAACAGTAAACAAACCCTCACTGGAATAATTATCACTCTTCCTGCACCATGAGACCCGAATTTTCATGGACAATATTCAAGGAGTCCCTTAGTTTTGATGGGTAGCATATCCTTTATAGTTCAATGTGTATTATCAAAATTGTCACATTACTAACTATACTATTCTGAGAAAATCAGGAAACTTTCATTTCCTAAACTACATCAATCATGTCAGTACTAATTAAGTGTGAAGAATCTGACCATGGATATGACGAGTTCCAAATCGTAAGTATCGTACAATATGATAAAATGGTGCTATTTCTGCTCACTACATCTGTGCCAACTAGATGTAAGTAGGACATACGACTAGAGAGCTTGCTGTGAGATGTGATGATGAATAAAATAGCCCGAATAAACTCGCTCGTTTGCATGTGTTGTGCATGGGATCCTGTAAAATACTGATAATTTAGAATTGTTGAAAAACTCGGACGATCTATTAGTCACTATTTTAATCTGTGGACGGCTTGCTACGTTGGTAGCAGAAATATCTACCCATAGATATCTACGTATAAGGGCTTTCCAGCGTGTAAACTGGTGGTCTATCTTAATAAAAAAGACAATTCTGAATGTCTACTATTTACCTACGTCATTACAGCAATTAAAGTGTGCTTAAGATGTAGTTAATAATGTCATTCTGCAACTAGCACAAAAAACATTTATTTTAAGAGTTTTCTACACCAGTTACCAGGCTTTACTATTCTCTAGTAACTTGCCCGAATCTGTCCACCTGTTTGATTCTTTTCACGACACAATGTCGTATTAAAATCATATATAGTTAACAGAACAAATATGACCCCCTGAACAGTGTCAGATGCTATCGTGGGAGTATACTAAAATAATATCTGAAGGCGAGACATAATGCAACACATATTTTCAAATTTATAGTTTGATAGTTATAAAGACTAATGATTGGCTGACAGCAGATAATATTGGTTTCACACCAAATTTCTTCATTTGCCCCACTTCCTTTTAAATACATCCGAGAGAAATGTTTTGCTCGAGCCGTTCCGATTGTTGGCAGCTCTCTGCAAGCTGATCATTTTTTTAATCACTATGTGAAAAGTTATTGTGCCGATCTGAAATGTTAGGAAAAAATCATTTTAATCAGAAATGTTCCGTTATTTTTATGACTATCATATCCTGTAATCCGATTGGGGGCATGAACTGATCTCTGCTGTTTGTGCATCATTTGAAGGTGCAGATACTTCTAAGTTACAGTACAATATCTTGACAATATGCTCGTTTGGATTACTTAACTATAACTACGAGGATTATATAAATTATCCTATCGCTATTGCATCTGACAAATAACCTGAATAATGCTCCTCATAAAGTTGAATCACACACCTAAGAAAGCTTGAAGAGAACAGAGGTTCCTAAGTAGTATGTCTGGGACGTTGGTAGCTTTCATGAACTAAGACAATATGAGAAACAAAGCTAGTAGACAAAGACAATATCTTACCTCAAGTGGCAAGGTTTGGTACTGGAACCAACGAAAACAACGTGATGACTAACCATGGAAAATCAGGAAAGATTTGTTCTATCACACTTAAAACAGAATAAGATGATAATACATTTCTGAAGTAGAAGGTACACGGCCGTTTTATAGGCATGGTCAATAAATAATATGGGTTTCCAGATAAGATGCTTCCAAGAAAATGTTTGTAAATAAATAAAATCGGAAAGAAATGGCGGAACATTCATGCAGACATATCAAAAGTTAATCAACAGGTTTACGAATAAATCTGAGTTCACAGTTGTTGTGATCTGTTTCGAAACGACAACGCGTATAGGCTGTGACCTGGATGAGCTCACACCTAGGTCGAACTTGACATTCGCGTATTATAAATTGTAGTACTGCCAATTATGGTAACTAGTGGATAAAACTCATATCACCTGCCATGAATTGTAGTTAAAGCGTCTACGTAATGTCAAAGCTTATCTTGTTGTTAAATCCTAGCAAAGAATAAATGAACGGTAGCCACTAGAAATTATTGGTGGACTATTAATACATATATTCCTATTGGATAATTGTTAAGTAACTAGATCATACTTTGCTTTTACTTAAGCCTGTTACTTAAATGGATCATGAGTATTTATATTCCTTTTATCATAAGCCTTTTTTAACTATTGACTATTATTATACGACGTGTTATTCTTAAGTTATTCTCAATTTATTAGTTACAGCCTCTCACAATCACAGCCACTTTTTGACTTGATCTTGCGTAATTGTTATTTTCCATTTTGTGGTATGATGCTGTATGATTTGCTTGTATATAAACCACGTATGTCTGAAATACATGATTCATATGGTGGGAGCTAGTATTGGTCTTCTGGACTGAACCAGCAGTGTTAGGAGAGAAGCTACTATTTCCAAGGACCAGTAAGTGTAATGGTATCAATCATGACAACACAATCCTCAAAACTGAACATGAGATAACCGGGAAAACAGATATTCGACCCTTAATACGAAGAGAAAACCAACAATAATGAACGCGGGAATATTCATTCAATCAGACGGCATGGCTCAGCCGTACGGACGTGATCATTCTGTGTAACTTGTCTTTACTCGCATTAAATATATATTATTCTATTCTTGGCCCAAATGTGTTCTTGCGAAACTGCAAGCATCATGTTATTAATTGTTTCCATACGATGACTCAGTGTAGACAATAATGTGACTCCCATGTAAGATATTATAGATTAAGCAACTACATTATGACATAGAAGCAGCACCCACGGACCTCCCGATCGATGTTGGCCCATCAACAATTGATCAGATCAACATGACCACCAGACAAATCAATGGCAGTCAAGCAGCAGGACCAGACAACATTCCAGCGGAGGCACTGAAAGCAGAAGTAGTAGTAACTCTAAAGATACTTCACATTCTCTTCAGCAAAATTTGGGATGAAGAACATGTACCAACAGACTGAAAAGAAGGAAACCTGATCAATATATCAAAGAAAGGTGATCTCAGGAAGTGTGAGAACTACAGAGGCATCAATCTTCTCTCAATACTAAGAAAAATCTTCAACAGGGTGTTGTTAAACAGAATGAAGGACTCCGTAGACGCCTAACTTCGAGACCAACAGATAGGATTCCGTGAGAATAGATCGTGTACAGACCAAATCGCAACACTACGGACAATTATGGAACAATCAACTGAATAGAATTCATCACTCGACATCAACTTCATTGACTACGAGAAAGCATTTGATAGCATAGACAGAACAACACTATGGAAGCTTCTTCGACACTACGGCGTGCCTCAGAAGATGGTCAATATCATACAGAGTTCCTATGATGGATCAAACTGCAAAGCCATGCATAAACAACAGCTCACAGACTCGTTTGAAGCAAAAACCGGTGTCAGGCAAGGTTGCTTACTCTAACCCTTTCTCTTTCTCCTGGTGATCGACTGGATCATGAAGACGTCAACATCTGAAAGGAAACACGGGATACAGTGGACATCTAGGATGCAGATGGACGATTTAGACTTCGCTGATGATCTGGCTCTTCTATCGCACACGCAGCAACAAATGCAGGAGAAGATGACCAGTGTAGCAGCAGCCTCAGCAGCAGTATGTCTCAACATTCGCAAATAGAAGAGCAAGATTCTCCGATACAGCACAGCATGCAACAATAGAATCACATTTGACGTAGAAGCTTTGGGGGATGCAATAACTTTTACATATTTGGGCGGCATCATTGATGAACACGGTGAATCTGGTGCAGATGTGAAGGAGCGAATCGATAAAGCAAGAGCAGCAGATCTACAAACTGAAGAACATCGGGAACTCAAAACAACTTTCAACCAACACCAACGTCAGCATTTTCAATACAATTGTCAAGATATTTCTACTGTATGGACCGGAAACTTGGACAATTATGAAAGCCAACATCCATAAGACGCAAATGTTTATCATCAGTTGTCTATGCAAAATACTTCGGATTCTTTGGCCAGACACTATCAGCAACAACATACTGTGGGAGAGAACAGACAAGATTTCAATGGAGAAAGAAATTAGGAAGACGCGCTGGAAGTGGATAGGACACACATTGAGGAGAGTACCCAACTGCTTCGCAAGGCAAGCCCTTACACAGAATTCTTAAGGCCAAAGAAGAAGAGGAAGACAAAAGAACACATTATGCCGAGAAGTGGAGACAGACATGAAAAGAATGAACAAAAATTGGATAGGACTAGAAAGGAAGACCCAGAACAGAGGGGGTTGAAGAATTCTGGTCGGCGGCCTATGCTCCATTGGGATTAACAGGCGTAAATAAGTGAGGAACCTCAATTTCCCTTCTTCTGTGATGTCAGGCCAATTCAAGATGATTGTTGGGTAGTATTTTGTCCTGTTGTGGTATTTGAGCTACCTGACGATCGGACGATTGATTGCGCGGTTATTACGAATTCCAAATATAATACGTTCGTTTGTGCTCACCTCCTTCTTGCTTTAAATTGCACTATTTCGGGAGTTCTTAGTTAGCACAATAGTTCGAATACTCTTAATCACCATATTGGCGTCGCGATGGAGGCTATGAATGAAAATTTAGATGCACATTTGAATTCTGATGCTTTCGTGGATTGCATGGAAGGGTTTGAAATGTGGAGTATGACCAGGGAAGATGTTGAGGATGGTAAAATTGTATTTCGCTCCCTCATGTTCATAGGAAAGGACGCATACAGCTTACTAAAAATTTGGTATTTCCAAACGAACTTATTTAACTTCCCCATGCATCTCTCAAGGAGCTAA